GCGTCCCCAGCCCCTCTGGGGGGTGATTTCTCGCTTTCTGTCTCTATGTCTCTCTCTGTCTGTCTGGCGATTGCACCCGCCCTATAGCAAAAACTTCTCCAGATAAATAAATAAATAAATAAATAAATAAATAATAAAAGAAAATGAATAATTCTAAAAAAAAAAAGACTATTGGGCCAGCAAATGAAGTAGTGGTTACATTGTTGGACTTCCACATAACCAATCACAGTTCAAGTACTCAACCTGGTGGTTTTCATACTGGGTGCATGTGTGCGTGTGTGTCCAAAATCCCAGGAGGAGAACAGAGTAGAAGGGATTGCGGCCTGGCCATCCCATGGGGGTGATTTCTCACTTTCCCTCTCACTGTGTCTGTCTCTCTTTTTCCCAGGCAAGTGCATGCACCCTAAGACAAAAACCTCTGTCAAAAAAAAGAAAAAGTGTGAATTAAATTTACGGGGTAAAAAAGGCAGACTTGAGTCGGGGCCAGCAGGTGGTATGATTGTTAAGGTAGCGAGATTCCACACGACTAACTCTTGACTGTGGTTTGAGTCCCAAACCCAGTGGCTTGAAAACCATCAGAGCGTCATGCATGTGCATGCCCAAGATCCTGAGACAACGGAGAAGGGACTGTGGCATGGCCATCACCCTTGAAGCCTGATTTACCACTTTTCCTCTCTCTGTGCTGGGAAGGGCATACATTCTATGGCATAAACAAAGACTTGAGTCAAGAAAAAGAAAGCTGTAGAACAATATCAAAACTGTTATTAATGATAATCTCTTGAAAGAACTAGGAATAATATTTCAGTTTATTCATTTTGGTTTAGCTTCACTTTATCAAATTAAAGATACAAAAAATTGATTAGTGCTTTTTATGTGCCACGGTAATAAAAAGCCTGTTATAAATAGAGGGTGTTGAAATGGAAAATGAATTGGAAAGTTGTATGACACTTTTCTCCATAAAATACTCGGGAATACCCTGGACTCCACTACTGTAGGCTACCTTGATTACATTTACAGTGAGTGAGAGCTCAAGAAAATAAGCCAAACACAAAAAGCCAAAGTACTAAGTTAAATGTAATTCATTAAATGTTCTGTAACATAGGACTCATATGTGGTTTTCAAATGTTTTCCCACTGCATTGGCCCCACAACCTTGTAATAGTGAAGGTAGCAAAATCCCAATGATCAACCGCACAGTTTGAATCCTGGCTCTGGTGGCCTGAAAAATCATACCAGGTACATGTATGTGGATGCCCAAAAACCCAACGGGACAGAGAGAGAGAGGAAAAGGGATAGTGATGTTACCACGCCCCATGGTAAGGAATGGGGTCCTTTCTTCCCTCTCTTTGTGGCAAGCACATGTACCCTCTGGTCAAAAGAAAATACATATTTTTAACTCTATTTATATATAAAGCCATGTTTCCCTGAATACATGATAATGCTAAATATATAATAACCTTCAATGGAGCCAATAGATGGTATAGCAGTTACGTTGCTGGACTCTCACATGGCCAAATGCAGTTTGAGTCCTGGACCTGGTGGCTTGAATAATCACACCACACACATATGCGGGCATGCCCAAGATCCCAGGAGAATGGAGAAGGAGTTGTAGCGTGGCCATCCCCTCGGAGGGGTGATTTCTTACTTTCCCTCTCACTGTCTCAGTCCCTTGTCCCCACCTGTGAGTGCACATGACCTAAGGCAAAAACCTCTTGAAAAAATAGTCTTTGAAAGTTGACTTTTTACATTTATTATTTGACATATTATAGTATTATAATATTCCATTGTATAAACAAACTACTTCCTTGGGCATTTAAGTTGCTTCTAATGCTGCTATTAAATAACATCAGGTAGGGGCCAGGAGGTGGTGTGGTGGGTAAGGGCACTGGACAGGGCCAACTACAGTTCAAGTCCCAGACCTGGCGGCTTGCTTTCTCACTTTCCCTCTCTCCTGTTGCTCTCTGGTCAAATTAAAATAAGTAAATAGATAAAGTTAAATAAAATAATTCTTTTTTTTTTTTGAGAGTTTTTTTTTTTTTTTCGCTATAGGGCGCGTGCACTCGCCAGACAGAGAGAGACATAGAGACAGAAAGCGAGAAATCACCCCCCAGGGGGGATGGTCATGCCACAATCCCTTCTCCTCCATTCTCCTCTCGGGATCTTGGGCACACACGCACACGCGCCCAGCGTGAGTTCTAAGCCACCGGGTCTGGCACGCGAACCGTGGTCGACTACGTGGGAGTCCAGCAACATAGCCATTACGCTAACTGCTGGTTCCCAATAAAATAATTCTTAAAAAAAATAACATCAGGGGACCAGCATTTGGTGTAATGGCTATGTCACTGGACTTCCATGTAGTCAACAGCAGTTTGAGTCCCTGACATGGTGGCTTAACTCACATCGGGTGCGTGTGCGTGCATGCCCAAGATCCCGAGAGGAGAAGGGAGGAAAAGGGATTATGGTGTGGCCATCCCCTCAGGGGGTGATTTCTCACTTTCTGTCTCTCTGTCTCTCTCCGTCTTTCTGGAGAGCACACTCTCTATCAAAAAAACTTTTCAAAAAAAAAAAATCAGGTAATTAAAATAAAAACATTTTTGCTATGGGATGTGTACACTCGCTGGAGAGAGAGAGAGAGAGAGAGAAAGAGACTGTCAGAAAACACCCTCCAGAGGGGATAGCCATGCCACAATCTCTTCTCCTTCATTTTCCTCTTAGGACTTTGAGCACACAAGCACACATACCAGGTGTGTTATTTGAACTGCAGGGTTGGAGATTCAAACTGCACAGTCTGAATATGGGATCCAGTTGTCTTAATCACCAAGGCACCAGCGTATCTCAGGTAATACTGTTGAATAGCAACATCTACTATGCAATTATTAACGCCTCCAGTTTTGTGGACGGCAGGTAGCATGGTGGTTAAGGATGATGAACTTCCACATGGCCGACTGTGGTTCGAGTCCAAGACCTAGTGACTTGCTTTCTCACTTTCCCTCTCTTGTTGCTCTCTGGTCAAATTTAAATAAATAAATAAATAAGTTAAATAAAATAATTCTTAAAAAAAGAACATCTCCAGTTTAGTTTTAAAAATAGGAGCACAGGGAGAAGCCAAGCAGTGATGCAGATGGATCCACACAGAAGGGTCCTGTGTTCGCATCCTGGGACCTTCTTGTGCATTCCCAGCATTTACATGTCTGCCTGTGATCTGGGCTGGCTGAGACGGGGGTCAGACCACAGTGTGACAAACCCATGTGCCTATCTCTCTGTCTCTCTCTTTCTCGTAGAAGAAATAAACATGCTTAAAACTGGGGGCAGTGGGGACCAGCAGGTGGTGTGGTGGTTGAAGAACTTGACTCCCACATGGCAGACTGCAGCCCGAGTACCAGACCAGTGGCTAGCTTTCTCACTTTCCCTTTCTCTCTTTCTGTCTGTCTCTCTCTCCTGGGTGCACATGTCTGACAGCAAATTGAAAATAATAAGAATATTATAATAAAATAACTGAAATGAAATAAATTCTTTAAAAGAAAAACAAACAAAAAAACTGGGGCAGAATTCCCAAATGAGGGCCCACAGGTGACATAGTGGTTAAGGCGCTGGACTCCCACATGGCTGACTGTAGTCCTGGACCTGGCAGCTTGAAACTCACACAGGGCACATGTAGGTGTGTGTCCAAAATCCCGACAGGAGAATGGAAGAGAAAGGACTGCAGTGAGTTCATTCTGAATCATCCCTGGGAGATGACTTCTCACTTTCTCTCTCTCTGTCTCTATGGTGAGTTCATGTGCATATAGCAAAAATCTCTCTTTAAAAAAAAAAAACAACAAATAAAATGCAAATGAAAAATATTTCTACTAAATACATTGCCAGATAATTTCTAATGGGAAACATAATTCTCTTTCTGGTTTCACGGTGCAACTTACCTTGGTAAATAATGAAACAATCCTTTGGCAAATCCTGTCGTGTGATACAACCTCCATCTGCTCCCAGGAGAAACAGCACTTTAGGAGGATTTTTCCTAATTGCTTCTACCCCAGGTTTATAACCAAGATCCAAAGCAGCTACTTGGCTTGCAATCCTATAAAACGATTATAAAATTTTAGCATACTTGTAGCGTTTCCAGTATTAAAAGTAAAAGAAGATTCTTAGGATGATACCTAGCCTTTTTCCTTTCAGTGCTATCAAGGAACCTTTTAACCACTTCAAATAGATGTCAAAACCAGAAGTCTTTTACTGTCTTGAGAATAGCAAAGAAACAAGCATAAAATACTCAGGTCACAGTGTCTTTTCACGAGATATTATTTAATAAAATAACTCTGGAAACTTTATGCCAACTACAATTACCTTAAGTTTGACTCTTACTCAGTGGAGTAAAACATATAACACAAAAGCTACGGTCAGCAGTTGATGTGGTGGTTGACTCCCACATGGTCAACCACAGTTCAAGTCCAGGACCTGGCAGCTTGCTTTCTTACTTTCCCTTTCTCTCTGATAAAAATTAAAAAAAAAAAAACAATAATAAATAAATAAAATAGGACCAACAGATGATGAAGTGCTTATGCCACTGGACTCCCACTTGGCTGACAATGGTTCAAGTCCCAGACCCAGTGGTTTGAAATCATGTCAGGCGCATGTGGGTGCGTGCCCAAGATCCCAGAAAGAGAATGAAGGAGAAGGGATTGTGCTGTGGCCTGCGAGGTGATTTGTTACTTTCCTTCTCACTGTCTCTGTCTCTCTCTTGCTCTCTCTGGCAAATGTGCATGCCCTAAGGCAAAAACCTCTACAAAAAAGTAATAATAATGTTTTAAAAGAATTGTTTTATTTATTCTTATTCTTTTATTTTAATTAGACCAGAGAGGAACAGAGAGAGAGAGAGAGAGAGAAAGCAAGTCGCTCAGTCTGGGACTTGAACTGCAGTCAGCTATGTGGGAGTCCAGAGCCCCTAACCACCTCGCCATCTGCCCATGCCAATAATAATTAATAAAATTAAATATAATAGTTCTTTAATAAATAAATAAGCTAAGTATATTCATTAGAAAAAAATCATCGAGCAGGTGGCGTGGAGGTTAAAGCAACTGAATTCCATATATTTTGAGTCCCAGACCTAGCAGCTTGAAAGTCATGCTGGGAGGTGTGTGTACGTGCTTAAAAATCTCGAAAAATGGAGAAGAGACTGTGTAGCAGCCATCCCCCTGGGGGGTGAATTTTCACTTTCTCTGTAGTGAGTGCACACATCCTAAAATAAACTTACACACACACACACACACACACACACACACACACACACACACTAAATAAACTAGATGATAGTGAAAACAAACAAAAATAAATAAATAAATAATAAAGAAAACACTCAGAAAACTACAATTCAGGCCCTGCAGGTAGCACAGAGGTTAAGGCACTGGAATCCATGTGGCTGGCTGTGCATTTCAAGTCCCAGACCCAGTAGCTTGAAAATCATACCAAGTACATGTGCTTGCATGCCCAAAGTCTCTAATGGTGACTAGAGAAGAATCTATGGTATGGCCGTCCTCCCTGGGGAGTGATTTCTCATTTTTTTCCCCTCAGCCCCATCTTTCTTTGTTTCCCTCTGGCAAATGCATGCGCTCTATAGCAAAAAATAAAAACAAACAAAAAGTACCATCCAGAGAAAACCATGATTAGTATATTACCATATGTCCTTAAAGAATATTTTTCTGTGAATTTACAATTATATTCTTATAAGGAGAAAATAATGTTTTAAAGAAGAGATCTGGAGTAAGTATACTATGAATAATAGAATTATTTGGTCTAGTATGCTACTATTAACTTTTTGGAAATAGTAGCCATTTATACTGGTATGCCCTTTCTTTTCTTTCTTTTTTTTTTTTTTCCCTTTCTAAAACAAGTTGGATACATGTATGAAGAGTCTCAGAAACTTTTATCCTATTTCACTCAAAGTTCTACTTTTAGAAATCTATGCTAAGGAAATAATCTAAGGTTCAGAGCTAATAGCACTGCATTATTTAAAAATAGTAAAAACTAGCATCAACAACCCAGCTACAGTGGTGCAGCAGTAACACACCATTCTGTGATGCTGAAGCTGTAGAGAAGACTGAGATTTAGTTCTTGGTCAACCAGTATAGATAGGTTGGTCCATGGTCCTGGCTGGCTGAAAAGGCTGGCGGGGGGTGAACTGCAGCAGTAAATCCTGTTGAGGGTGCTCATCTTTCTCTCTCTCTCATGAAAGAAATCAATAAACTAAAACAAACAACAAAAAACCCCTAGCATCAATGTACATGTTAAAAAGAAAATAGATTTAAAAATGTATAGAATAGGTGGCATGGCGGTTTAGGCGCTGGACACTCCCACATGACTGACCACAGTTTGAGTCCTGGATCTGGCAGCTTGCTTTCTCACTTTCCCTTTCTCTCTTTCTCTCTTTCTGTGTCTCTCCCTGGTCAAATTAAAATAAATAAATAAATAAATAAAATGAATGAATAAATTAAATTAAGTAATTTTTTTTTAAAAAGATACCTTTAAAAAAATGTATAGAATATTCATGAGAGTAAATAGCCATTAAGGATTTACTTATAAGGAATTTACAGGGCCAGCCAGTAGCATGGTGGTTAAGGCAGGTAGATCACACACAATAACTGCATGGTTAGAGTCCTGGACACGGTGGCTTGAGAAACATGCCAGACACAGTGGCTTGAGAAACATGCCAGGCACATGTGTGTGCGCATTATCAAAATTAGCAAGAGGAGAAATGAAGAAGTGACTATAGCAAGACCATCCCACATAGGAGGGTGATTTCTCACTTTCTCTCCAATAAGCACTAGCAAATTTTAGGTGCCCACTAGCAAATTTTAAAAATAATTTTAAAATAACCTGTAGCACAGATATTAAGTGCTATGTACAGAAAACTGATCTCACACAGCTGACCACTGTTTGAATTCCAGCCTCAGAGGCTTGAAAATCACACCAGGGGTATGTGCATTCGTGCCCTAAATCCTGACGGAACAGAGAGATGGAGGAAAAAGGATTGCAGCATGACATACCCAACTGGGGGTGCTTTCTCTCTAACAATCACATGTATGCTCGGACAATTCATTGTAAAAAAATATATAAAAATTTTATTTCAAAGTAAGAATTAAAAAAAGAAAGAATTTCTAGGGCCAGCTCCATGGCTCAACGGTGATGCACTACTCAACAGACACCATATTCCACATGGGTACAACAGTCTGAATCCCCCATCTGGTGAGTCTGAAACACACTGAGCCAGTGTGCAAATATCCAAACCCCAGTGGGCTGGAACACCCACAAAGTTGCTTGTCTTGCTTGCTCTCTCTCTTACTCGTGTGCTTTATCATGAATTTAAAAAAAAGAGAGAAAATAATTTATAATCATAGAAGGGAATTCTTATTTGGTAGTGAAAATTGAATAATACCAAGACATAAAATTGTATCACAATATGACTTCAATTATATAGCTAAAAAACATTTACACAGGCAGGGGGAAAAAAACAGAAAAAAAACCACACCAAAATGATAGGTATTATTTACAGATTGTGGAATAAAGACCTTTTCTATTTTTTTATACACTTTTTTTTTTCCAACTTTTCTAAAATAAACTTGCAATATTGACATATTCACAAAAAAGTCTTCACTGAATTTCTCATGTTAGTTTACACTTTTGTTGTTATTATTACCATTATTGCTATAGGGCACATAAGTTTGCCAGTGAAAGACAGAGAGAGAGAGAGAGAGAGAGAGAGAGAGAGAGAGAGAGGGAGGGAGGGGCAGGGAAGGTGAGAAGTCACCTCAGGGAGGATGGCCATGCCAGCATGCACACATACCCAGTGTGATTTTTCAGGGAACCAGGTCCAGAACTTGAATTGAGCAATTGGTCATGTGGGATCCAGCACCTTAACTTCCACACCACCTGCTAGCCTTACTATTATTATGTTTTTTTAAAAGAATTACTTGTTTGGGGGCCAGCAGGTGGTATGGTGGTTAGGGGTACTGGACTCTTACATGGCTGACTGTGGTTTGAGTCCTGGACCTGGTGGCTTGCTTTCTTACTTTCCATCTCTCTCGCATTCTGTCCCTCTCTGGTCAAATTAAAAATAAATAAGGAAAATAAATAAAGTTAAATATAATTTTAGTTTAAAATGTAATTTTAATTTTAAAATATAAGTTTAATGTAATTTAAAGTTAATTTTACTTATTCATTTATTTTATTTTTAAATCTTTTTTTTAAAGAATTATTTTAATTAACTTTATTTAGTTATTTGGAGAGGTTTTTGCTATAGGGTGTGTGTGCTCACCAGCAAGAGAGAGAGAGACAGAGAGACAGAAAGCAAGAAATCACCCCCGAGGGGGGATGGTCATGCTGCAGTTCCTTCTCCATTCTCTCGGGATCCTGGGCACATACGCACATGTGCCTGATGTGTGTTTAAGCCACCAGGTTCGGCTTGAACCACGGCCTACTACATGGAAGTCCAGCGATGCGGCCATTACTCCATCTGCTGTTCCGCCTCCCTCTCCTTACTATAATTTTTAAGACAAAGTCTCACTGTCATGATCCACTGGTTTCAACCTTCCAGCAAGGACAAGTGTATGCCAACACTCCCAACTCTCTCTCGCTTTTTAAAGACAACATGCTGCTATATAGTCCAGAACAACTTTGAATTCACAATCCTTCTGCCCCATTTTCCTGCCCCATCCTTAAGTCACTGAGATTACAGGTGCACACCACTGCACTTGGCCTTTAAGGTTGTGCTGGGAAACCAACAGAGGCCTCTATTTTATTTTTTTGTTTGTTTTGCTATTGGGCACATGATCGTTGGAGAGACAGAGAGACAAAAAGTGAGCAATCACTCCCCAGGGGGGATGGTCATGCCGCAATCCCTTCTCCTCTAGGGATTTTGGACACACATGCACATACACCCAGTGTGAGTTTTAAGCCACTGGATCTGGGACTTGAACCACGGTTGACTATGTGAAAGTCCAGTGATGTAACCATTATGCCATCTGATGGTCCCAAACATAGGCCTCTTAAGTGTCTTATCAGCACATGCCACTGTAGGTGGGTACATTTTTATTATTTCACCAAAGTCAGAGGACTTGTGATTTTTGAACCAAATTATAACTGATATGAAATTTTAAGTATTTTTTCTCAACATTCAGTTATTTCAGATATTTTTAATATTATTTGCCATCTCTCTTCTCATACAGAGAATAAAGGCTTGTTTTTTTTTTTTTTTTAGGGGGTTTTTCTCTAGGGCGCGTGCGCTCACCAGAAAGAGAGAGACAGAGAGATAGAAAGCGAGAAATCACCCCCCAGTGGGGGATGGCCATGCTGCAATTCCTTCTCCTCCATTCTCCTCTCGGGATCTTGGGCACCCACGCACTCGCGCCCGGCGTGAGTTTAAGCCTCTGGGTCCAGGACTCGAACCGCGGTCGATTACGTGGGAGTCCAGCGACATAGCCATTACGCTAACTGCTGGTTCCAAGGCTTGTATTTTGTATTTGCAACTGTAATAATACTGCTAAATGCTACTTGTAAATCTGAAAGTGACTGAGTGAATCAGGAACAAATATAATAAAAGTACTTGAATTTCACAGTACATAAAACAATTATTCAACAAACCTATGAAGAATATTCATAACTTTCCAATCACTAGTAACACCACTAGTCACCCGAATCTTCTGTGCAATGTTGGAAACAGCTGCAAGAATTGCTGCCCCATCATTTCTCTGGAGTGCAGAGCTGCCTAAAACCACCATTGGTTTTTTAGCTTCCTTTAGGACCTATAAAAAAAGAAAACCAACAAAAATTAAAAAGCTCCTTTGGTTTTAATATATTACAAATAGGACTGGTCCTGTAGCACAGAGATTAAATGCTGTATACAGAAAGTGGAGGCTTCAAAGCAGACCGAATCCAAGCCCCAGTGGCTGAAAAACACCGGCCACTGTATGTACATGCCCTAAATCCTGATGGAATGGAAAAGCAGAGGAAAAGGAACTCATTTGACCATGCCCCATTGGGGAAATGCCTTCTCTCTTTTTCTGTCTCTCTCATGCTTTCTGGTAAGCACACATGCGCTCATGCATTTAAAAAAAAAAAAGTGCAGATCAGCAGATAGCATTTTGGTTATGTTACTGGACTCATAAGATGGCTGGCCAAGTTTGAATCCTAGGCCTGGTGGCTTGAAAATCACATTGTGTATCTGTGTGTATGTGCCCAAGATCCCAGGAGAAGATTGGAGAAGGGATTGCTGGGACCAGCAGTTGTTATAACGGCTGTGCCACTGGACTCCCATGTAGTTGACCGCAGTTTGAGTCCCAGACCCGGTAGCTTAAAACTCAGGCAGCGTGCATGTGTGCCCAAGATCCCAAGAGGAGAATGGAGGAAAAGGGATTGCGGTGTGGCCATACCCCCTGGGGAGTGATTTCTCGCTTTCTGTCTCTTTCTTTCTGGTGAGTACACACGCCCTACAGCAAACCCCCCTCTCCCCCACCCCACCCCTCCAAAAAAAAAGAATGGAGAAGGGATTGCAGTGCGGCCACCTGCCCTGGCGAGTGATATTTTACTTTCCATCTCACTGTCTCTGTCTGTCTGTCTCTGGTGAATGAGAGCACACTATGGCAAAAATCCTTAAAAAAAAAATGAGTAAATTAAACCCCCTAACCAAATCTGTATCTATGATATATTGTCCCGAAGTGGAGGTCTAACATAAACATCTTTTTTTTTTTTCCAAAAAAAGAGATTTTTGCTATAGGACACATGCGCTCATTGGAGACAGAAAGTGAGAAACTGCCCCCCAGGGAGCATAGCCATGCCACAATCCTTTCTCCTCCATTCTCCTCTCAGGATTTTGAGCACTTGTGCACACATGCCTGGTATGAGTTTTAAGCCACTGGGTCCAAGATGCGAACCATGGTCAACTATGTGGGAATCCAGCAATGTAACCATTACACCATCTGCTGGTCCCTAACATAAAACATCTTTTACGTGGGCCCGTAGTTTACATGGAGGTTAAGGCACTGAATCCTATGTGGACAGTTTCCTGGTTCGAGTCCTGTACCAAATGGCTTGAAAATCATAGGAATGTGTTCGTATGTGTTGAAAATACTGAGAAGAGGGCCCAACAGGTGGTGTGGTGGTTAAGGAACTGGACACTCCCACATGGATGACCCATGGTTTGAGTCCTAGACCTGGTGACTTGCTTTCTCATTTCTCCTCTCTCTCTTTGTATCTCTCTCTGTCGAATTAAAAATAAATGAATGAATAAAAAGAATTAAATAAAAAATTCTTTAGGAATAAAAAAATAAAGAAAATATTGAGAGGAGGCTGGAAAAGGGACAGTGGTATGGTCATCCCCTGAGGGTGAGTTCTGACTTTCTCTTTGGCAAGTATATATGCCCTATAGCAAAAACAAACCAAAATCTTTCATTTGCTAGCCAACATGTGGAAATACATACATCAAATTTATAGTCATAAGTCTCTTAACAAAGGGGATAGGTATGAGAAATATGTCGGCAAATAATTTTATTGTGTATACAGCATGTACTTATCCAAATCTAGATGGTATTGCTTAGTACACACTAAAGTCACATGTGGTCTATAATAATTTTTTCTTTTTTTTTTTTTTTTTGGAGAGATTTTTTTCGCTATAGGGTGCGTGCGCTCGCCAGACAGACAGAGAGAGACAGAGAGACAGAAAGCAAGAAATCACTCCCCAGAGGGGATGGTCACACTGCAATCCCTTCTCCTCCATTCTCCTCTCGGGATCTTGGGCACGCACGCACACGCGCCCGGCAATAATTTTTTCTTTCTTTTAACATTTTTGCTACAGGGTGCATGTGCTCGCTGGAGAGAGAAAGAGAGTGAGAAATCACCCCCCCATGGCGGGACGGTCACATCACATCCCACCCATGTTCTGTAACATTCTTCAATAAAGAGTTGGCCAATATCAAAGAATAAACATGGAAATTATGTGTAAATGCTACATAGAGAAACACATTCATAATGAAAGGAATTTCTTAAGAAAATGTGAAGAGTTCAGAGAATTAATTTTTACAAATTTTATTTATCATTATTATCATTAAAAAAAAATATGCTACAGGGCATGTGTGCTTAAGGGAGTCCCAGATCTGGGACTTGAACCACAGCCAGCCATGTGGGAGTTCAGCACCTTAACAACTATGTCACCTGCTGGTCCCCCCCAAAATAAATTTTTTTAAAGAGTTTTTTTTTTTTGCCTTAGGGCGTGTATGCCTGCTGGAGAGAGAGAGAAACAGATACATTGAGAGAGAAAGTAAGAAATCACCCCCTGGGGGATGACCAGGCCACAGTCCCTTCTCCTTCACTCTCCACCTGGGATCTTGGGCATGTACACACATGCACCTGGTGTGATTTCTGAAGACATCAGGTCTGGAACTTGAACCGTGGTCAACCATGTGGGAGTCCAGAGACATAAATGGTACACTGCTGATCCCAGAAATAATTTTCAATAGCCTCAAAGAAAATGAAACACACACTTACCTAAACAAAAACAAAAAACAACTTCAGGGCCAGCTGGTAGCACAGTGTTTAAGGCAGCTGGAGTCCATTCGGCTGACTGTGAGGTTTCAGTCCCAGACTTGGTACCTTGGAAAACACACCGGGTATGTGTGCATGTATACTCAAAATCCCAAGAAAAGAATGGAGAAAAAGAGATTGCAGCATGGCCATCCCCCTCCAGGGGGAGGGGGTATGCTTGTGTGTGCTCATTCTTTTTCTCCATCCCTTCCTCCTTCCCTTCCTCAAGTGCATGTGCCCTATGCAAACATTGAAAGAAAGAAAGAAAGAAAGAAAGAAAGAAAGAAAGAAAGAAAGAAAGAAAGAGAAAGAGAGAGAGAGAGAGAGAGAGAGAGAGAGAGAAAGAAAGAAAGAAAGAAAGAAGAGATAGAGAGAAAGAAAGAAAGAAAGAAAGAAAGAAAGAAAGAAAGAAAGAAAGAAAGAAAGAGACAGGATGGTACATAACAAAAGATTTTCATCATAGAATTCAAAAAAGTCCTCCCCCTACCCCCCCACCCCCCGCGTGGTGTGTGTGTGTGTGTGTGATTTCATTCTGTTTCTCTGTCTTTCTGGCAAGTATATACTCTTTATAGCAAGAATCTCTTAAAAGAAACAAGAGCAACGAATTATAGAGATGACTACTATTCTAGAATCTATAAAAAAAAAAAAAAAGGGACCAGTAGATGGAGTAGTGGTTTTAGTCATTGAAATCTTAGCATGGCCAACAGCAGTTCAAGTCCCGGAACTGGCAGTTTGAAAATCATGGTGGGTACAGGTACATCAGTGCCCAAGATCCCAGGAGGAGAACAGAGGTGGTGATTTATCACTTTTTCTCTCACTGTGTTTATCTCTCTCTCCCTGGTGAATGCATGTATCCTAAGGCAAAAACCTCATTAAAAAAAAAAAAAAAAAAAAAAAAAAAGATTGTAAATATAGGGACAGGAGAGATAGGCTATAAGAAATTCCACAGAAGAACTGGAAGAGACAAAATAACAAGGTAAAAGTGATAGAAAGGGAGAGCAAATAACTACACTGTTAGTTCTTCATGGTGGGATTAGCAGGTGGCGTGGTGGTTAAGGTGCTAGACTCCCACATGGCTGACTATGGTTCGAGTCCCAGACCTGGTGGCTTGCTTTCCCACTTTCATTCTCTCGTTCTTTCTCTCTCTTGTCAAATTAAAATAAGTGAATGAATAAATAAAATTAAGTAAATAAATCTTAAAAAAAAAAAAAAAGAGTTCTTCATGGAGAGAACAGAACTCATGAAGGGAAGATATATTTAATAATAATAAAAGAATTTTCCTAAAGAACACTAGTCACCTACTATACGTATAGAGCAGAGTACTAGAGGTGAAAGGGAGTTTTTCTTTCTTTCTCTCTCTTTTTAAAATTATCTTATTTAACCTTATTTATTTATTTATTTAAATTTGACCAGAGAGGGACAGTGCGAGAGTGAGGGCGAGAAAGAGAAAGAAACAGTGAGAAAGCAAGCCGCCAGGTCTGAGACTTGAAACATGGCTGCCCATGTGGGAGTCTAGCGCCTTTAACCACTATGCCACCTGCCGGCCCTATCTTTCTCTCTCTTTTTCTTAAATTGCCACAGAGCACATGCACTTGCCAAAGACAGGGAGAGAACGATGCAAAGGAGAAAGTACTCTCTCAAAGGTGCATGGTCATACCACAATCCCTTTTCTTCCATTTCTCCGTCCTGGATTTTGGTCACACACTCATATGCACAGCATGTTTTTCAAGCCACCAGGGCTGGGATTCAAACCACTGTAGGCCATGTGGGACTTGGCTTCCTTAAACACTGGGCCAGCCCTCTTTTAATATTTTAAATCTTGTTATTGTAATGTTTTTGCTATTCAAAGTGAACTGGTTGGGCTGAGGCTGCTTTGTCTTTTTGTACCTCACCTTCTTGCCTACACTGGAGGCTGTAAGTGAAGCAACGATTTGGACCCAGGAGGAAAGGCTCACACACAAACATAGGAGATCAAGCAAACACACACAGGACAGCAAAGCAGCGAGGCAGGGCTCCTCTTTGATGACAGCCTTGGACAACTGCATCCTCCTTCAAAGTGCTGACCTCTAGGTTCTTTGTTACATGAGAAACAGAAACCCCTGAGACTTTTAACCACTACACCATACACATCCTAAAATAACGAGAACCTTGAATCTTCATCATGTCCTATAACAAACTGATAAAGAAATGCTAACATTTAGATATTTTGGTGAAATTAGTGAACTTCAAAGGTAACAATCAGGTACACAAATAACAAGAATGGAATATCTAGACCAAAAACAAAAACAAAACAGAGTAGAGGAGAATAAGACTGATTTCAGGCTTCTCTACAGTAAGAAAAGACTGTATTTATAAAGTCCAAAAAGGAAAAGAAATGTGACTTTACAATCTTCGTTTGTTTTTGTTTTGGAGAGAGGCAGAGAGAGAGAGAGTGAAAAAGTACCCCTGGAGGGGATGGCCACACTGCAATCTCTTCTTCATTCTCCCCTTGGGATTCTGAGCACACACACACACATGTCTGGTGATTTTCAAGTCACAGGGTCTGAGACTCGAATTATGCCATCGATCATGTGGGATCCAGCCACCTTCGGCACCATGAAATCTAGGTGGCCCAACTTCAGAATCTTATATCCTGGTAAGCTGTCACTTTACGAGTAAGATAGATATTCTTAAGCAAGAACTCAAGGAACAGTCACTTATGAGTTCATCTTGAGAAAAAAAAAGGAAATAAACAAAACCAAGAAAGCCAACAATCAAATGTATTTAAAAATACAAAAATAAAAAAAAAGGATTGGTGGATTTTTTTTAGGTTTCTTTAAGAAGTTTGATAGAGGATGTGTACATTACCACAGAGAAAGAGAGAGAGAGAGAGAAAGCAGGAAAGTACCTCGGGTACGGGCACAGTCACAGCACGATTCCTTTGCCTCCCCTTCTCTCCCCTCCCCCTGGAGTGTGGGCACAGCTACAAGTCTGCTCCTCACCTATCTCCCAAGATGCTGGTCAGAGACTCAAAGGTGCAGTTGGCTTACCTATCCTGCCACAGACTAGCTCGGTGAAATTTCTTTATAAAATAGTAACTCTTGCAGTAAATATTTAGTTTAAGTTGAAAGTTCATGTTTTACTTTAAAGTTATTTTAAATTATTTATTTATTCATTCATATTCATTCATTTATTTTAATATGACCAGAGAGAGAGAGACATGGGGGAGAGGGGGAGAGAGAGAGATGGAAGGCAAGACAGCATGCCAGGACTCGAACCGTGGTCAGCTATGTGGGAGTGTCCAGCACCTTAACCACTATGCCACCTGCTGGTCCCCACTTCAAAGTTTTTTAGAGAGAAATTCGAGGAAATGATATTCTGATAAAAAGAGCAAGTACAGTAGAATCTCAGTTTCGTTTGCTTATCTATCTAACTTGCTTTACACATAAATAGGTGATTATGATGTTCATTAATACTTGTTTGGGGTGGTGGGATTTGGAGTAATATTTTATATTCTTCCATGTTCTTTTCTGTATTGCTATAATTTTCAATAATCACTTACAATTAAAAAAAAAAAATCTAGGGACCAGCAGATGGCATAATAGTTGTGTCGCTGGACTCCCCATGGCTTAAAACTCATGCTAGGTTGCTAGGTGCGTGTGCATGTGTGCCCCAAAACATGAGAGAAGGGGGAAAGGATTGCAATGTGGCCATCCCCCATGGGGGGTGATTTCTCACTTTCCATCTCTCTGTGTCTCTCTAGCGAGCACACATACCCTATAGCAAAAAACCTCTCTACAAACAAACAAAAAACCATACACACACACACCTGTAAATAAATAAACAAATAAATAAAATAGACACACATAATAACTTGAGAGTACCTGGCTGAATGAATGGCTACCCGAAGCAATGTCTTGAAGAATTTTGGGAGAGTCTCCCAGGTGGTCATATCTGTAAGTGAGGTCCACTGGACTGCCTATAAGAGCCACTTTTAAGTCATTATGAAGCCAGCTGAAATAAAAACATTTTTAACTGTGAGTTAAGCACAATTACTGGTCTCATCAATGCTAAGTGCTATGTCTATTTACTATTACAAAACGTTTTCAAAAACACAAAAGCTCTCAGATGACCTTTAACAGATAGAGTTTAGTATATACCTTTCAAAATAGTGTTGCAAAAAGACATGGAAAGGCAATTCAATGCTTTAACTTGCTGTGTAGAAATGTAAACTACAAGTCAGCTATAAACAAAGACTTTAATTTTATAATAATTGATCTGTAGTTTTATTCTGTAGTATTTACACGACAGGGTCAACTATCTCTTATCCATTAAGAACATTTAAACACAGTTCATGAAAATAAGCTACTTCGTTTGTTTTGATTCTTTATGGTATATGGATCCAATTCCTCCAGAAATAGTTATTAAGTACAATGACCATATATCCTAGTTTGTCTGAGTTCAGTGCTGGTTTTGACATATTATCCTCAGTAATTAACAGTTCCCTTTCATTTTCCACAGTGTCCCAGTATAGACAGTAAATGACATGCTGCCCTATTCCTAAGTCTCTAGGACAGTCATCTCAAACCTTTTTGGTATTAGGGACTGGTTCTGTGGAAGGTAATTTTTCCATGGATGGGGATGGGAGGGTGGTAAGGTTTCCGATAGTGTGCAACCTAGATCCCTCACACGTGCAGTTTGCACTCCTATGAGAACTAATACCACCGCTGATCTGACATGAGGTGGAGTGCGGATGTTAATTTGAGCAATGGGGAATGGCAGTAAACACAGATGAAGCTTTGTTCACTAGCCTGCTGCTCACTTCCTGCTCTGTGGCCCAGTTCCTAACAGGCCACAGACTGGTACTTGCTGGGGATCCCTGCTCTAAGACATAAATAAAAACGATGAGAAGTTGTTCTATAAAATAATGGGTCTCTGCTCTTCTAAACAAGTTAAAAAGGGGACCCGAGAAGTCATGACCCTAATTGCAATGTACAATTCTAGATTGTATCTTGAACAGGAAAAAAAAATTGTTATAAAAGAGCCTGTGGGGCCTATAGGTGGTATGGTGATTAGGATGCTGGAAACTCCCACATGGCCAACCATGGTTCAAGTCCAGGACCTGGGGGCTTGCTTTTTGTCACTTTCTCTCTCTCTCTCTCTCTCTGAGTCAAAATAAAATAAATGATTAAAAATAAATAAATAAATACATAAATAATTTTTTTTTTTTTTAAAAGGCTGTGGGAGGACAAGCAGATGGCACAGCAGTTACATCGTTGGACTCCCAAATGGCCAACACGTTCAAGTACTTGACCCAGTGACTTGAAAATCACACTGGGTACACGAGTGTGCACGCCCAAGATCCTGGGAGGAGACTGGAGGAGAAAGGACTGCGGTGTAGCTATCCCCCTAGGGGGTGATTTCTTACTTTCCCTCTCGCTGTGTCTGCTTTTTCTCTCTGGTGAGAGCCTGCACCCTAAGGCAAAAACCCCTTTAAAAAAAAAAGAGAGACTGTGAAAATCAGAGCAATCAGAATATAAACTATGGATTATATAATACTATTGTATTAATACTAAATTTCTTGATTATTTAAGAGAATGCTCATTATTCTTAAGAAATCCAAACTAGGGACCAGCAGTTAGCGTAATGGCTATGTAGCTGGACTCCCATGTAGTCGACCGCAGTTCGAGTCCTGGACCCAGTGGCTTAAACTCACACCGGGTGCATGTGTGTGCGTGCCCAAGATCCCGAGGAGAGAATGGAGGAGAAGGGATTGCGGCGTGGCCGTCCCCCCTGGGGGGTGATTTCTCGCTTTCTATCTCTCTGTCTCTGTCTGTCTGGCGAGTGCATGCGCCCTATAGCAAAAAAAGAAAAAAAAAAAGAAATCCAAACTAAAGTATTTAGGAATAAAAGGACATCATGTCTGTAACTTAGTTCCAAATAATTCAGAAAACCTTATTCATACATATACAGAGAGAGAGAGAGAGAGAGATAAAATAGAGAAAATGGTCACAAGAGTTAATATGGATAAACAATATATAAAACATGGGTATACAGGGACCAGCAGTTAGCATAATGGCTATGTCGCTGAACTCCCATGCAGTTGACCGCAGTTCGAGTCCTGGACCCGGTGGCTTAAACTCATGCCTGGCCCGTGTGCGTGTATACCCAAGATCCCAAGAGGAGAATGGAGGAGAAGGGATTGTAGTGTGGCCATGCCCCCTGGGGGGGTGATTTCTCACTTTCCTTCTCTCTGTCTCTCTTCAGTGAGCAAATGAGCCCCATGGTAAAGACCTAAAAAAAATAATAATAATAAAAAATTCAGAATTTTGAATTATTTCAAACTAAAACACTAACAAAATAAAAATCAGTGGGAGTGGTTAGAAGAAGAACCTGTTAGAAATTACCCTACAGTCGGGACCAGCAGTTAGTGTAATGGCTATGCTATTAGACTCCCATGTAGTCGACCGCAGTTCAAGTCCCAGACCCGGCGGCTTAAACTCACGCCCAGCGCATGTGTGTGCGTGCCCAAGATCCCAAGAGGAGAAAGGAGGAGAAAGGATTGTGGCATGGCCATTCCCTCTGGGGGGTGATTTCTCGCTTTTTGTCTCTCTGTCTCTCTGTCTTTCTGGCAAGTGCACGCGCCCTATAGCAAAAACCTCTCCAAAAAAAAAAAACGAAATTACCCTATAGTCGTGAAAATAGTTATGGATGCTGGACACAGTATGGAAGGAAGGTGGGAGAAGGGAAGAGTATAGGGAAGGAAATCAGGGAGAAAAAAATAGAGAGGCAAGACATTTGTGGGATAAAGAAATGTTTTATTATCTTTTGAAGATAGCTTGTATAGTATTCTTAACTGGACTGGTCTGAGATGTATTTCATATTGGGTAAATTTTCTTTACGAGCAACCAAATGATGTATAGCAACTGAATGTTTAAAAAATATAGTAATAATAAAAGTACAAAAATTAAAAAAAAGAAATTGCCCCTCAGTTGTCTTTTGGAGTCTCAATAATTCTAATACCTAAGAATCAGCTAAAATGTTGTTTTTCATACATAAAACAAACAAACAAAATTTTTTAAATCCTGAATATGTATTACTAACCTCTTTCGGATTCTAGCATTAAATAGTGGTGCCTCAAAGCGTGGATTTGTACCGACCAGAAGGACAAGATCTGCCTCTTCCACACCAGCAATTGTAGTATTAAGAAGATAATTGGAACGCAAATCTGTGCTAGGAATACAAATATAAATGGCAAGCTTACTTTAAAACTCATACATAGCCAGAATCTGTGGAATAGTCTCATTAACATCAAACCCATGACATACCCAGGCAAGAAGTTTTCATCAAAGTATTCCTAAATTAAATCAAAGTTTCAGATACTAATAGCTGGATTTTCCTATCTCTGATGTGGCTGTTTTATATAAATATATATTTTTTTCATTACATACTTTTTATTGCTTGTTTTATATATTACTTGTAACTAAAAAGAAAGCTCAGATTCAGTTTCCTATTTCTTACCCAGCCCCCGCGGTAGGGAAGACCTCCTCAGTGCATAAGGTGTCGGAGTCCACTCGATTAAGCAAATCTTTGAGAGCTACTAGGGCTTCCGCATCCACCAAGCCACCTGCAATTGCTGCCACATCCTTGCCTTGAAAACTCTGCAACTAGAAATGGATAAAAAGGATATCGCCACAAAAACCACAATAAGTTGTTCAGAAAAATATAGCAATCATTTTCAAGTACAAAAAAAATAACAAACTTCTGACTAAAAAGTTTACAAGTATTAAACCATCAAAGAGTAAGAAGCAGTGGCGGCGTATCTGGTGCCAAGGCTAGTAACACCAGCTTAGAAAGAACCTGCTTCATATTTAGGAATAAAGAGGCTTCAAAATGAGGTCTGGAGAAACAGGACTGAAGCACTGCAGTGACCTCAAATGCAACCCCTGAAGTATCTGCTATTCCCTCTAGCCCTTTGTCCATGTTGTCTTTCTCTGACCAGAAAACCACTGCCTCTACTTTTGCTCTGGCAAGCTTGTATTCATTCTTGGACTATGTTTAAAAAGCACCTTCTCGGGGCCAGCAGGTAGTGTGGTGGATAAGGGCGCTGGATTCCCACATGGCCAACCATGGTTCAAGTCCTAGACCTGGTGGCTTGCTTTCTCACTTTCCCTTTCTCTCTCTCTCTCTCTCTCTCTCTCTCTCGTCAAATAAAGAAAAAAATAACAATAACAAATGGAAATAAATAAATAATTCTTAAAAAAAAAAAAAAAAAAAGCACCTTCTCTAGAAAAAGCATGTCAATATGGAGTCCTAGTCAGGCATCCCTATGTGCTCTGTCTCACTACTCCCTATTCAGTTACTCATAGCAGCACATGATAATTGCCTAATTGTACATCTCTCTGTACTACAGTACTGTGAGAGGTAGGGACCACTTGTCAGCAGTCTTGGCATCCTTTTAAATACCACAGTATCTGGTATATGATTCTCAATAAATGTTTGTCAAGTGCAAGAATAATCAGAATACTGGTAACAAGAAGAAGGGAAAATACACATGTTCCCCTCTTCATAGCAAAGATATTTCTTAAAAATTACAAACTATATATTCTATGTTTCAATTTTTTACCATTCCAGCAACACGAGAGAGTGCATCCTCCCAGGAGGTATAGGTTAAAAGTCCCTTTTCGTTTCTGACCATTGGCTCTGTAAGTCTTTGACGTTTTAGTCCATCATAGGCAAATCTAGACAACAGAAATTACACCATTTGTGGAATCTCACCAGAGGCAACTGTGATTTTCATGTTTAAAATCTATAATAAAAGTTAGTTAAATATAGGATTGGTTAAAGTGTCAAACAGAATAAGTAAATATCTAGACAAATAATTACTCCCAATATTTTTGGAGATTAATAAATACATTTTATGAACATCACCTAAAACTAAAACACCACCTAAGAAACTTTTATTTGTGGGACCAGCAGTTAGTGTAATGGCTAGGTCGCTGGACTCCCACGTAGTCGACCGTGGTTCGAGTCCCGGACCTGGTGGCTAAAACTCACGCTGGGCGCGTATGCGTGCGTGCCCAAGATCCCGAGGAGAATGGAGGAGAAGGGATTGCAGAGTGGCCATCCCCACTGGGAGGTGATTTCTCGCTTTCTGTCTCTCTGTCTCTCTCTGTCTATCTGGCGAGCACATGCACCCTATAGCAAAAAAAAACAAAACAAAACAAAACAAAAAAACCTCTCCAAAAAAAAAAAAAAAGAAACTTTTATTTGTGGGGTTGACAAGTGGTATGGTGGTTAAGGTGCTGGACTCCTACATGGCCAACCATGGTTCTGGTCCCAGACCTGGCAGCTTCCTTTCTCACTTTCCCTCCTCCTTTCTGGTCGAATTAAAAAATAATAACAAATAAAATTAAATAAACAATTATCTAAAACTAAAAAATAAGTTTGATATATTATACTTTTTTTAAGCTGAACAACCCTAAAAATTACAACACATCAAAAATCTGATAGCTGAAAAAGCAAAACCACTTTTATTTACTAAACATGAGTACTTTTATGTATTTTATCAAAATTATGTAAATTCTTACATTCAGTTTCTTTTCTCTAATTAACAAAAGTGAAATAGATTAAGAAGGCACCTCCTTAAAAAAAAAAAAGAATTATTGGGGCTAGCAGGTGACATGGTGGTTAAGGTGCTGACTCCCACATGGGCAGCCACAGTTTGAGTCCCGGACTGGGTGGGTTGCTTTCTCATTTTCCTTCTCTCTCTGTTGCTCTCTGATCAAATTCAAAAAAAAAAAAAAAGTAATAATGAATTAAATTAAATAAAAAGGGCCAGCAGACAGCATAGCAGTTATGTCACTGGACTCCTACAGTTTGAATCCCAGACCTGGTGGCTTAAAGCCCACGCCAGACGCATGTGTGTGCATGCTCAAGATCCGAGAAAGAGAATGGAGAAGAAAAGATTGCAGAGTGATCACGGATTTCTCACTTTCCCTCCTACTGTCTGTCTGTCTTTCTCTCTGGCAAGTGCATATGCTCTAAGACAAAAACCTCTAGGGTAGGGACCAGCAGTTGGCGTAATGGCTATGTCGCTGGACTCCCATGTAGTCGACCACGGTTCGCGTCCCGGACCCGGTGGCTTAAAACTCACACTGGGCGCGTGTGAGTGCGTGCCAAAGATCCCAAGAGGAGAATGGTGGAGAAAGGACTGTGACGTGGCCATCACTTACTGACTATCTGTCTCTCTCTGTCTGGTGAGCGCATGTACCCTATGGCAAAAACCTCTCAAAAAAAAAAAAAAAAGAATTATTAAATTTTATTTGCTATCATTATTATTTTTCAACTTGCTACAGGGCACATGTGCTCACCAGAGAGAGAAAGCAAGTCACCAAGTCTGCCTCTAGAACTGTGGGAGTCCAATGCCTTAACCACCATAGCATCTGCTGGTCCTGAGAAGATATCTTGATCTACTTCAATCTATTGATATGGGAGTTAAAGAGATCTTCCTCAAAGTCAATGAAAGATCTAGAACTATTAATGTCAGTTTTGTCCCATTCTCTACATAAACAACCTGGATTTCAAGAGTCTATATTTAGTAACTAGTTTGCAAATATAAGTTCTTTAAGGAGACCAGCAGGTGGTATGGTGGCTAAAGCATTGGACACGCCCACATGGCTGACCACAGTTTGAGTCCCGGAAGTGGTACCTTGCTTTCTCACTTTCCCTGTCTCTCTTTCTCTCTCTCTGGTCAAATTAAAATGAACAAATAAATAAAAATAAATTTAAAAAATATAATTCTTTAAAAACAAGTTCTTTAAAATTACTATAAAATTTCCTTTAAATCAACTGTAAATATTAAGGAAAGCAATAGAGCATATACCTGGTTTTATCAGAAATCCACTCCTCATTGATGTCTTCATGCATCCGTGGCAAAATCCTCATCACCTCTCCAGTTCTTGTGCTAACCACAATATTACTTCCAACTGCATCCATTACATCAATAGATTCTGTCTTTCTGAGAAAATAAACACATACAGTTTACATTTATTGTGTTGATTCTAGTATGAACAAGGTTTCTATTACCTGTTTTTTTTTTTTTAAATTATAATTAATTTCTTTCCTTAGGTTTCTAAAATAATTGAACTTGAAGAAATTGCAATAAATAAATTAAAAAAATGTACCCCTTAGGGCCAGCTCATGGGGTGGTAGTTAAGGTGGTTGGATCCCACATGGCCAACAGCACAGTTTGCATCTCGGATCAAGTGGCTTATGAAACACACTGGGCACATGTGTATGGGTGCCCAAAATCCCAAAAGAAGGGAGACAGAGAAGTGACCGTGGTGTGACAGAGCCCCATAGGGGATGCCTTCTCACTTTCCTTTTCTCTGTGTCTCTATCTGGCAAATTAAAAAAAAAAAATGTACCCCCATATTTAAACACATCACATAATGTCATTAATATAATAATGAACTCTTTAAAACTATTATCTAGGGGCCAGCAGATAGCAGAGATATTAAGGTGATCAGATCCCAGATGACCAATTCCATGGTTCGAGTCCCAGACCTGGCAGCTTGAAAATCATGCCAGGTGCATGTACATGCATGTCCAAAATCCTGAGAGGAGAATGGAGAAAGGACTGCAGCATGACCATCCCACTGGGGGATGATTTCTCACTTTCCCTCTTTCTTTCTGTCTCTTTCCAAAGAGTGCACACACCCTATAGCAAATACTAAAAAACAGAACAAAACAAAAAAACCTCCCTATTATCTGTGACTAGTTCTGTTGAGTGCTGTCATAGGAAGTTAGATCCCATGTGGCTGACTGTGGTCTGAGTCCTGACCCAGGTGGCTTGGAAAACACACCAGGCACATGTGCACACTCAACATCCCTCTAGGATGGAAGAGAGAAATGGAGGAAAACAGGATTGCAGAATGACTGCACCCCATTAGAGGTTGTGTTCTCTCTCTCTCTCACCCTCTCTCTTTGTTGGAAACACCTGCACTCTGGTTATAAAATAAATAAATAAATAAATAATTTTAAAACCAGGGCCAACAGGTGGCATAGTGGTTAAGGTGCTGGACTCCCACATGCCAAACATGTTTCAGGACCTGAGGCTTAAAACTCATGTCAGGTGCATGTGCTTGCTTGCCCAAAATACCAAAAGGAGAATGGAGAAGGGATTGCAGTGGCCATCTACCCTGGGGGGTGATTTCCCACTCTGTCTATCCTGCGAGCACACACGCTCTATAGCAAAAATCTCTCTAAAAAAATGAAAAATAACCAAACAAAAGCTGTTACCTGACACAGAAACCAGGTTGAAGGGGCTCCAACTAGCCAAATCTGGAGCAATTTCGGTATCAAAACAAGTCGTGAGACCAGCAGTTGGCATAATGGCTATGTCACTGAACTCTCATTTAGTCCACTGAGGTTTGAGTCCTGGACCCGGTAGCTTAAAACTCACACCAGGTGCATGTGCGTGCGTGCCCAAGATCCCAAGAGGAGAATGGAGGAGAAGGGATTGTGGTGTGGCCATCCCCCCTGGGGGGTGATTTCTCGCTTTCTGTCTCTCTGTCTGTCTCTTTCTGGCAAGCGCACACAGACTACAGCAAAACAAAACAAAAACAACAAGTTAACAAGAGGGGTGGGATGTCTAGCTATGGCCAATTCAGAACTCAATCTTCTCTCCAAAAAAAAAAAAAAAACCAAAACCAAACAAAACAAAAGCTGGACCAAGTTGACAAACCCCCATTTCAGCACTTTGAAAATCTACCAAAGGCATAAAGCAACGTGAGAAGCATTAAAATCGCCATACTTTGAATAAGAACAGTGGATATCGACAGTGGTCTGACTCGAGTGCCATTATTATCCTGCTCTCCACTATCTTGAACTGGACTATTTTCTAGGCTAGACCAGGTTGTTAGGAGATTCTTTGCTGAAGATGGAGACAACTCACTCAATTTGGAGCAACGTCCAAACACATCTGTGGACATATCTTGGAGGTTGTTGAGGCTGAGAAAAGCCTAAAGTTGTAGATGGAACAAGCATTCCTAGCTGAAGTAGTGCATATGAACAGCTGAGATCAGAAAGAGCCCAATATAGTCACAGGTCCTGAAAAACACTGAGACTGAACAGGCCTGGTGGAAAATAAAGACTGGGAGCTTTGAATACTGCCTAAACTTTGAACATGCTCTCCTATCTACAAATAGGTCTACTGGCAGAGGATAGAAGTTGTTTTGAGTCATGGTGTTTGAGCACTGTCACTATCTAACTACTAAGTTATACAGAAATAGGGGCAACTCCTAAGAAGCCTCACATTAAACATAACCTTAAAAATATTCATATTTGTTGAACCTACGTGCTCCATTTCTTGGTTTAATCAGAGGAATTAGAGATGTACAAAAAAATTTTATGAACAGCAATATTTTTCACAAATTTATTAATTACACAATAAAGAAACAACAAACTAAATGTCTAGTAACAGGAACTGGTTAAATTAAGTACGACACATCCACATGGCTAAAAACTTAATATACATATTGAGGCAAAATGGATAAATCTAGAAGAAATAATGCTAAGTGAAATAAGCTAGCTTCTAAAAGACAAATACCAGGCTACTGGAGGCATGGTGGTTAAGGCTGCTGGATCCCACATGGCTGACTCTGTGGTTCAAGTTGTGGACCCAGTGAATTGAAAAACACACTAGTCATCACATGTGTGTACACGCCCAAAATCCCAAGATGAGAGTGGAGGAGATGGGATCACAGTGTGGCCATCCCCCCAAAGGGTAATTTTTCTTTTTGTCTCTCCCCCATTCTCTTCTGTGTGCACACAGATCCTATAGAAGATAAATAAAAGACAAATATTGCATATCCTCACTTAAAAAATACCACATGTACTCACTCATTAGCAAAAGCTGAGAGTGTAATGGTAGATACCAGAAGCTGAAGAAGGAAAAGTGATGGGAGGGGATGAGGAGAACTTGTTTAACAGATATGAAAGTTCACGTAAATGAGCAGCATGTGGTACAGACAATTAGAGCACAGTAATGAGAGTTAGTGACAATTCAGTGTTTATCTCCAAATAACCAGTAGAGCAAATCTCCAATGTGCACAACACTAAGTAACCATAAATGCTGGAGAAGGTGAATGTGTATTCCTTGTTTTGATTATTACACATTTATATGTATTTTCAAAAGCCACCCTGGCCCTTGACCCATTCTCTCTCTTTACCTACTGAGGCCTGTTCCTACCTCTCGGGAATATACTTACACCTTTACTTAATAAACTACCTTTACTTTTCATTATTTAATTTAATTTTTTTTTTTTTTTTGGAGAGGTTTTTGCTATAGGGCACATGCACTCACCAGAGAGACAGAGAAAAAGAGAGACAGAAAGTGAGAAATCACCCCCAGAGGGGATAGCCACACAGCAGTCCCTTCTCCATTCTCATCTCAGGATCTTGGGAACACATGCACACGTGTGTGCCCAGTGTGAGTTTAAGCAACCGGGTTCGGAACTCGAACCACAGTCGACTACATGGGAGTCCAGTGACATAGCCATTATGCCAACTGCTGGTCCCAAATTCTTTGTCTGAAGCCATCCCACAGCATATATTGTGGCGAGCCAAGCCAGGAGTCAGCCACTTTAGCCTATTCAAATCCCACAACAAAGACTCACCTGCCCTTGTCGGAAAACTTAAAGGTGTAAAAATTACAGATCATACAATAGGGACACCAACCCCTTGGAAGTTCCTCAATTTCTACTGTGAGTCATCCAGCACCAATAACAGCCCTCCTAACAATGAATATTAGGACTAACTCAACTATCTGTCCTTGGTCCCTCTCTCATCAAAATCAGGGCAAGAGTTCTGTGATCTCCGATAGGCAGGGCCAATGTCCCATTCTAGTATGAAGCAATTACAGAAGACAGACCATCTACCCTCAACTCCCCAAAAAGATTTATGGGAATCACGGCTTTCAGGGCAGAAATGAGTCAGGAAGAAAGCAAATGGAAGCGGGTAACAGCTGGAGCGTATGCCTATGAGGGTAGATTTAAAAAAACAATCAGGGCAGATAATCCCCTGCACAAGTTAATGTAGGCAGATTTCCAGTGGAGGATGTCTAGCTGATGAAGCCACATTTGATATAGCCAATGAGATGAGAATAATCATCTCATGTGCCCAGACAATGATCAACTGATGAGACCTAGATTAAAAAGTATAAACCGGGGGCCGGCAGGTGGCGAGGTAGTTAAGGGCACTGGACTTGCACATGGCCAACCATGGTTTGAGTCCTAGACCTGGTGGCTTGTTTTCTCACTTTTCCTCTCTCTCTCTCACTCTCTCATTGTGTCCCTCTCTGGTCAAATTCAAGTAAATAAATGAATAAATAAGGTTAAATAAAAAATATTTTTTTAAAAATTATAAACCTCACAAAATGTAACTGTTGTGGTTCTTGTACTACTTTTTCTCTGTCTCTCTCACTCTCTGCTCAGATCCACTCCTACCTCTTGGGAGTGTACTTAAATGCTTTTACTTAGTAAACTATCATTTCCCTTTGCTAAAAAAAAGAAAAAGAAGAACCAGCAGTTAGTGTAATGGCTAAGTTGCTGGACTTCCATGTGGTTGACTGCGGTTCAAGTCCCAGACCCAGTGGCTTAAACTCACGCCAGGCACAGGTGTATACGTGCCCAAGATCCCGAGAGGAGAAAGGAGGAGGAGGGATTGCAGCATAGCCATTTCCCCTGGGAGGGGTGATTTCTTGCTTTTTATCTCTGTCTTTCTGGCAAACACACGTGCCCTATAGCAAAAACCACTCCAAAAAAAAAAAAAAAAAGAAAAAAGAAAAACCACCCAGTACTCCACAAAGATGTACCGCTATCATATACAAGCTAGAAATTACAATAAAATTATTGTTGAAGTAAATAAATACAATTGGAATGTGGTAGAAAGTGCAAAATAAACCTTAAAATATAATAAAAGACACAATAAATTTGAACTATCATGACTATTTTACTCCATGGAAGAGTAAGTGACAAAAAATGTATTTTCTCAATTGTCAGAGTACATATCCTTGGCAGAGAGAGAGAGAGACAGAGAAACAAGAGAGGGAGGAAGCAGGAAAGAGAAAGAGAAAGTATCTCCAACAGGGATCGGTCACACCATCACTTCTCCATTTTTCCATCCTGCTGGTATTGTGCACACATATGTGTATCTGCCCAGTGGTTTTTTTGGGGGGAGAAGTTTTTGCTATAGGGCATGTGTGCTTGCCAGAAAGACAGAGACACAGAAAGCGAGAAATCACCTCCCCCCCCCCCCCGGGGGGTGGCGCCGCGGGCATACCACGGGCGGATGGCCATGCGGCAATCCCTTCTCCTCCATTCTCCTCTTGGGATCTTGGGCATGCATGCACATGCGCCCGGCCTGAGTTTAAGCCACCGGGTCTGGGACTCGAACCATGGTCAACTATGTGGGAGTCCAGTGACACAGCCATTACGCTAACTGCTGGTCCCTGCCCACTGTGTTTTTGAAGCCACTGGGTTGGAATTTGAACCACAGTCAGCAATGTGGAATCTAGTTCCCTTTAAACACTAGGTTATGAGGCCAGCTCATCCCCACAAAATAATTCTGTTAATTAAGGACTTCAGAATTAATTTCTAAGAAAACTACAATTAATTTGCATAGGTTTTTCCTATACTTCAGTCTTAACTATTTATCGTCCATTAAAGTTTAATGTAAACAAAATTCAGCAAGAAAATGATCCTTAACATTTTCTGAATAGTAGTGTATTACAGATAAAAATTAAAACTGTCAAAAAATACAAATATGATACCTTGTTTCCCAAGGCCGGGCAGTAAAGGCATAAGGCTTAGACGTTAGGGCACCTACAGGGCAGATATCAATGATGTTCCCAGATAATTCAGACATAAACATCTTCTCAATATAAGTGCCAACTTGCATATCATTTCCTCTGCCTGTTGTTCCCAAATCATCTACTCCAGCAATCTCACTTGCAAACCTGAAAGATAAAAATGCATCATCAGTACTAAAAATTATAGTGGACACTAGAGACAAAGTGAAAGAGAGTGTGGGAGGGGAAGAGCATAGGAAAGGAAATTTGGGAGAAAATGGAGAGATAGGATGCTTGTGGGACACAGATATGGTTTATTATCTGTTGACAAGGATGTGTATAGAATTCTCAACTGGGCTGGACTGAGGTGTACATCATGCTTGGTAAAGTCTCTTCACAATCTAAATGATGCATAGCAATTAAATGTATGGATAATAATAGTAAATAAATAAATACATTTTAAAAAACACACCATGGGGAACAACAGTTGGTATAATGGCTATGTTGCTGAACTCCAATGTAGTCAACTGTGGTTTGAGTCCTGGACCCAGTGGTTTAAACTCACACTGGGTGCGTATGTGTGTGTGCCCAAGATCCCAAGAGAAGAATGGAGGAGAAGGGAGTGGCATGGCCATCCCCCTGGGGGATGATTTCTTGCTTTCTGTCTCTCTGTCTCTCTCTGTCTTTCCGGCCAGTGCATGCGCTCTATAGCAAAAACCTCTGGGGTGGGGGGGAGGAAGCACCATCAAATGGTTGAGACCAAGAAAATTATTTCCATTCCTATTTGTGATTGCAAGAAGATAATGAGTTTCTTTTTCTCTCCTTTTCTTTTTTTTTTAAAGAAAGATTTTTTCTATAGGAGGTATGCACTTGCTGGAGAGACAGAGAGAAAGAAAGTGAGGGAACAATGGCCACACCACAATCCCTTCTCCTCTTAGGATTTTGAGCACATATGCACATGCGCCCGGCTTGAGTTTTAGGACACTGGGTCCAGAACTCAAACTGTAGTTAATTATTTGAGACTCCACCGATGTAACCATTACACCATCTACTTATCCCAAAATGATTTTCAAACACCAACATGAGTATTATTTTCAATGGCAAGCATAGTCCCTGAACAAAAAGAACTGTTTGTATTTAATTCAGCTGAGGTATAAAAGAATAGAATTTTTTTTTTTTTTTGGAGAGGTTTTTGCTATAGGGCGCGTGCTCGCCAGACAGACAGAGAGACAGAGAGATAGAAAGCAAGAAATCACCCCCCAGGGGGGATGGCCACGCCGCAATCCCTTCTCCATTCTCCTCTCGGGATCTTGGGCACGCACGCACACGTGCCCGGCGTGAGTTTAAGCCACCGAGTCTGGGACTTGAACCACGGTCGACTATGTGGGAGTCCAGCGACATAGTCATTACACTAACTGCTGGTCCCAAGAATAGAAATTTATATAAATCATACATTTAATAGTTCAGCAAGTTATCACAGACTCAATGCTTACAGATTTAAAAAAAATTTTTGGAGAGATTTTTTTTGCTATAGGGCAATGTGTGCCCACTGGAGAGACAGAGACAGAAAGCAAGAAATCACCCTCTAGAAGGATGGACATACTGCAATCCCGTCTCCTTCACTCTTCCCTCAGGATTTTGGGCATGCACATATATGCGCTGGCATGAGTTTTAGGCTGCTGGGTCTGGAACTTGAACCACAGTTGACTACATGGGAATCCAGCAATGTAACCATTACACCATCTCTTGGTCCCCAGATTTAAATTTTTAAATTGAACTGAAGTTGATAATAACTGAAAGTGAAGAACCTAATTGTTTACTGGCATATGCAAATAAACATTAAAAATGGCCTCCTCCTATTTCTAAACAGAAGTGGCCCTCCTTCCCAGTATTTTCATTTGACCTAATTCTGTGAATATTATTAAGTATACAATGATATTCTAGAAGAGAGAAGGAAAAAAATTACCTGATGCAGCGAGTGCACTGTATACATCTAGTCATGATAGTCTTTACCAATGGACCAATATTCTTGTCTTCCACAGCACGTTTCCCCTCCAAAAATCGGCTCCTATCACTTCCAAACATCATGGATTGGTCCTTAAGTAGATTACAAAAGTGTCAACTTAATGCTGCTAATGGAATTTGAACTCCAGACAACCAAATAGATTTACAAATTCGACTACAAACCTGCAGATCACATTCACCTCCCTGGTCACAAATAGGGCAGTCCAGCGGGTGATTTGCTAGTAAGAACTCCATCACACCTTCTCTGTATGGTAAATTGGGACAGGAAAAATAAATTGCTGGTTCTCAGAATGGTTTACCTATAAATTATCTAAGTAATAATTCTTAAATGATTAAAAAACAGATGTATGTTTTCTCATATATTTAGTATTAATTTTACACTGATTATCAGAAATACCAATATAACTATCATTCTAGTAGCATAAATACTCAACCTGGAAAAACACTTTTGGGAGCTTAGAATAAAATATTATTAGAGAATATGGAGAATTATGAATTTTTCTTCTTCTTTTTTTTTTTTTTAAGTTTTTTGTCATAGAGTACTTACACTCGCCAGAGAGACAGTGAGGAGAAAGCACCCTCTGGGTGGGGGGTGGGATGGGTTTGGCCATGCCATAACCCCTTCTCCTCCATTTTCCTCCTGGAATTTTCAGCATGCAAACACATGAGCCTGGCATGGTTTTCAAGCCTCCCGGTCTGGGACTTGAACTGCATCGACCATGTGGGAGTCCAGCACCTTAACCACCATGCCACATGCCAGCCCTGAAAGTTATGACTTTTAACAATATAAAACTGTCAAAAGTTGTTGAATGGCCTTCAGAATTGTTTTTTAAAGATTTATTCATTTAATTAATTACATTTATCATTATTATTATTATTATTTTAATTTGACCAGAGAGAGACAAAAAGAGAGAAAGGGAAAATGAGAAAGTAAGCCACCTGGTCTGAGACTTGAACCGTGATCAGTCACATGGAGTCCAGTGCCTTAACCACCACACCACCTGCCAGCCCAGAATTTTTTTTTTTTTAATTTGCCAGATGGTATTTCTTACAAGAGAAACAGAGAGAGAAGGAGACAGCACATTCCCCCCCCCCATAAGGTATGTTTATGCCATGATCCCTTCTTCTCCATTTTTCTACTCATGAGGCTGGCCCAACTTCAGCAAATATTTACAATTTTTCAAAACAAAAACACATGCTTCGCACGACTGCGAAGCATAATCTGAGTTAGTACATAGCAAAACATCACTAAATAATTTTAGCACAAAAATCTCAGAATCATTCATGTTCATCATAAGTTGAGCCAGGTACTAAACAAGTGTTGTTAATACTGATCCCATTCAAAGCTCAATACCATAAACCCCTGACTTGGCCTTCTCTACTGTGTACTCACTTCCTCTGTTCTTAGCACGCCAACTTCTTCAGGGTCTGACAAAGAATTCCTTACCCATCAGAAGGTCTAGATACTGACTTAGAATTTTCTGCTTTAAGAAAGGCTACACAGGGAACAGCAGTTAGTGTGGCTATGTCGCTGGACTCCCATATAGTCGACTGCAGTTCAAGTCCCAGACCTGGTGGCTTAAACTCACACCAGGCGCATATGTGTGTGTGCCCAAGATCTTAAGAGGAAAATGGAGGAGAAGGGATTGCGGCATGGCCATTCCTCCTGGGGAGTGATTTTTCGCTTTCTGTCTCTCTGTCTCTCTCCATCTTTCTGGCGAGCCCATGCGCCCTATAGCAAAAATCTCTCAAAAAAGAAAAAAAAAAGGCTACACAGGGACCAGCAAGAGGTGTGGTGGTTAAGGCGTCGGACCCTTCCCATGGCTGACCGTTCGAGTCCTGGACCTGCTGGCTAGCTTTCTCACTTTCCCTCTCTCTCTTGCTGTGTCTCTTTCTGGGCAAATTATAATAAGTAAGTGAATAAAAAAATTAAATAGTTCTTAAAAAAAATAAAAAAGAAAGAAAAGCTATATGGAGGGGGCAAATAAGTGGCATGGTGGTAAAGATGTTGGACTCCCACATAGCTGACTGTGATCTGAGTCCTGAATCTTGCAGCTTTTTCTCTCCCTCTCTCTCTGGCAAGCACGTGTGCCCTATAGCAAAATAAAAATTTAATTAATTAATTAAACCATTCTTTTTTTTTGAGAGAGATTTTTGCTGTAGTGTGTATGAGCTCACTAGAAAGACAAAGAGAGACAGAGACAGAAAGAGACAAATCACCCCTCAAAGGGTATGGACACACCAGTCCCTTCTCCATTCTCTCCTCGGGATTTTGGGCATGCATACACGACTGGCATGAGCGGTTTTTATTTTTTTAAGAGAGAGATTTTTGCTTTAGGGTGCATGCACTCTCCAGAGAGAAAGAAAGCGAGGACTCACCCTCCAGGGAGGATGGCCATGTCACAATCCCTTCTCTTCCATTCTCCTCAAAGGATTTTGGGCACAAGAAAAATTATGTCTGTACATGCACTCGGTGTGATTTTTAAGCTGTCAGATCTGGAACTCAAACCATGATCAACTACATGGGAGTTCAGCAATGTAACCATTACTTCATCTGCTAGTCCCCTGGCATGAGTTTTAAGCCACTTGGTTGGGGACTCAAACCACTGACTATGTGGGAGTCCACTGATAAAACCATTACACCATCTGCCGGTCTCCAATAAGTAATACTGTTTTCTTTTTTCTTTTTAAGAATTATTTTTTTGAGACCAGCAGGTGGCATGGTGGTTAAAGGCGCTGGACTCTCAAATGGCAGACCGCGGTTTGAGTCCTGGACCTGGTGGCTTACTTTTTTACTATCCCCACACTCTGCCCTCTCTGGTCAAATTAAATAATAAATAAATAAATGAATTTTTTTTTGTAGAGGTTTTTGCTATAGGGTGCGTGCGCTCACCAGACAGAGAGAGAGACAGAAAGTGAGAAATCACCTCCTGGGGGGATGGCCACACCGCAATCCCTTCTCTTCCATTCTCCTCTCGGGATCTTGGGCACGCACGCACCCATGCCCGGTGTGAGTTTTAAGCCACCAGGTCCAGGACGCAAACCGCGGTCGACTACATGGGAGTCCAGCGACATAGCTATTACGCTAACTGCTGGTCCCAAAATAATTCTTTTTTAAAAAAAGATTTTTTTTTTACTTTCTTTCTCTCTTATTCTTTCTTAATTTGACCAAAGAGAGATAGAGAGAGAGAAAATGAAAAAGCAAGTCACCAAGTTCGTGACTCAAAACTTGGTTGGCCAAATGGGAGTCTAGTGCCCTCAACCACCATGCCACCTCATGGCCCTTCAATTAAAAAAATACAAGGAAACCCAGATAAACAAAAAAAACGCTACCAGAATATGTAACGATAAAGTACCTGGCTTTTTTAGATTTTTCTGAGTTTGTCAGAATGTTCCAACCCTTCATTACTGGCATGGCGCAAGCAGCAACAACCTGAAATTTCAATAAAACAATCTGAGTTTGTATTTATTTCTAATTATAGACAATATAAAAACATTAAATTATACACTTAAAAGGCAAGGAACAAGGTACTTGTCAAGACTACTTTTTTTTTAAAGTTTATTTATTTCATGAGCAAGAGTGGGAAACAGATAGTCAGTGAGCAATCCCAACAGGGTCCTGATGTCATGACCCACCCTGAGCTTTGGCCAGACATGGATCATGGGCACATATACATCTGTCATACACGAGGAGTCCAGTGACGTTATCCACTGCACCACCTGCCAGCCCTGACATCCTACTTCTTAAGTTTATTCCTTTTGTTGGGACCCGCAGTTGGTGTAATGGCTATGTTGCTGGGTTCCCATGTAGCTGACCACGGTTTGAGTCCTGGACCCAGGGGCTTAAACTCACACTGGGCGTGTGTGCGTGTATACACAAGATCCCGAGAGGAGAATGGAGGAGAAGGGATTGCGGTGTGGCCACACCCCGTGGGGCATGATTTCTCACTTTCTGTCTCTCTGTCTCCTGTCTTTCTGGCGAGTGCACGTGGCCTATAGCAAAAACCTCTCCCCCCCAAAAAAAAGTTTATTCTTTTTTAAAGAAAAATTTTCCTGAAGGTGCATGTACTTGCTGGAGACAGACAGAGGGAGAAACTAAGAACGCACTTTCCATGAGGAAAGGTCATACTGTAATCTTTCTCTTCCATTTTTCCCTCCTTTGGGGACTTTAGGCATGTATACGCACATAACCTGGCATATTTTTCAAGTCACTGCAAATAGGACTCAAACCACACTGTTAGCTACGTGGGATGTAGCCACCTCAACTACCAGGCCATGGACTGGCCTTTAAGGTTATTTTAGTAGTTCATTTTTAAAGAGACAGGGTCTTGCTATGTTGCCCAGGCAAGCCTTGAACTTGTGATCCCCTTGTCTCAAGCCTCCTAAGTAGTTGTTATTACAGACAGGCATTGTGCCACTATACCCAACTACAAGACAAGTTTTATTGTGCTCCGAAAAAAAACATCAAGGAGCTATGCTTTATAATGAACTACTGATTTAAAACCACATACACCAAGACATAATTGAACCACTGAAAGTGAACCTCTTCGCTGAAGTTTTTTTCTCTAGTGAAAATGGCACCGTATAAACACCTAATGTGCTGCTTGGCAACTCCACATCCTAGTGGTGTATAATACAGTCATTTGGAATACCGACAGCTAAATTAAGTCAACTTTAATGTCTAGATCTATTGGGTTGTTATTAATATTATAACTGTATGACACTTGCATTTATGGAGCACTTCCATTAATATGCTTCCAGTTTTGAAACAAAAATAACCAACTACACAAAATATATTAAATTTATGAGGCCAGTAGGTAGCATAGTAGTTAAGGTACTGGATCTATGTGGCTGACTGTGTGGTTTGAGTCCCAGATCCAGAGGTCTGAAAAACATAACAGATGTGTGTGCATATGTACCCAAAATCCCAAGAGAAGGGATTACAGACTGGCCATCCTCTAAGGTGTTGATTTCTCATTCTACCCTTCCCGCACACCGCCCACACCCACTTCCCTGTCTTTTTCTTCGGCAGGCACACGTTCCCTATGGCCAAATTCTTTTTGAAAAATTGAATTAATAAATAGAAATAAACAGGGCTAGGTTCTCCATGAGAACAATATTGACTCTAAATAAAGTCTGCTAAAAGATTTATGTTTTCTACCTTCTATAGCAGGGAGTGGAACTTTAGGTATCAAGTACCTTAGGAGCTTTCTCAATTTCGACAAGGCACATCCTACAGTTTCCAGCCACAGACAATCTTTCATGATAACAGAACCGAGGAATCTGCATGCCAACTTTCTCACAAGCCTAGAAGACAAAGTAAAAAAAAAAAAATTCCATAAGAATAACCTGATATCACCCATTCTTGCTGAAACAAAGGGGGGGGAAAGAAGTCATCCACTCTGATCTATAAATATCTGTATTTTCAACCTACATTAGTCCCCGAAGAGATTTTCCTCCTTTGCTCTTGATCTCAATTCTTGTTGGTTTTGAAACTGCCTCAGAAGATCTAAAGAGCCTCAGTATACCTCCACCTTACATGTTAGAAATTAAACAAAGTATACTTGCACTGTGCTAAAGACTTGACTTTCCATGTTCACTTTGAACCATTGTCCACAAAGATCCCCCCACTTCAAATTTTGTCTCAGTGGTTTCATACATGGATTTATTCTTTGCTTTGTTCCCCCTATGGATTAGAGACTCTATTTTGCACCACCTAGTCTGCTATGATCAAGTCTAATCATAGTCACATCACTGGCTCCATATATCTAACCTAGGACCCACATTCCCACTGTGGCTGAAGCTCCTCCCAGGTGGTTTGTCGAATGAAGGGGATTAGCTTTGCTTTATCAATTATCATTCCTCCTTCTCTGCAAGTTCTTCCTAGCCTATTAAACATGTTCAAACTTCTAGAGTCACTTTCCTCATTCCTAGCCCTCAATGTAAAATAATCTCAGCAATTTCCAGTATTTTTACTATTTTGTCAGCAAAAGTGTATTGTGTTTCCTAAGTGTTAGAGGCAGTCAGTGAAGTAATGAACACGACAGAAACCTTCATACTAGGCTCACATTCCATATAGTGATTACATCCAAACCTTCATCTATAGCCCTAATAGCGCTCCACTTCTCCAAGCTTCCTATTTAAAGAGGCATTTGCATACATATGTTCCATATACAGCTTAAAGTCAACCTACTTCAGTCCCTTACATATATCCCCAAATAAGCTCACGAAGCTGGAAAACCACAAAAATTCCACTTCTCTCCATCATCCTAAAGGCCTGTCTATATTATAGACAGTAATCCACCTTCCCTGGAATCTACCTTCTTGCTTTCACTCCCATTGCCAGTGTCCATTTTATACCATGTAATTTCCTGCTACATTAATAAAAGATTATCTCTCATTACAGTTTTGCAAAGTATCATCCTCTACAGTCACTGTCATATTGCTTAACAGCCACCAAAACTCCTAATGGGTCAAACTGCAAGCTGTTTTACATGGCAGATACAATATTTCATGACTGGACCATCTTTACCTCAATAACTTTAATTCCTGTCATCTCATCTTCTTGCTATACCTTATGTTTCATCAATACCAAACTATCTAAAGCTTCTTAAACACAATAAACTATCTGCCTTAGCTAACTAATTTTCCATAGGAAATGTAAATTGTCCTTGTTTACATAAAAACGCATCTAGTCATCCTTTAAAAATCTCTTCAGGGATCACTTGAGATGTCAATGACATTTCTCTATTTCCATCCCTGCCAAACACTTACTACTGAACCTTGAACATACTATTTTATATATTATACTTGGTGCCTATCCATCTGTGTCAAAAAGATAATCTAGAAATAACTGCTGACATGAACAAAAACATTTAGTTCTATGATAACTGGCAGATGGAATGAAGCATCACTTTCCCATGACCAAACTTGGAATTACTAGAGGAATTTGGAAAAATACTTAGAGCATTAATCCATGAACATACTACCCTCCATTTACCAGTTTTGCAGGATTTATTCTAAGAAATATTACTAAAAATAGTAAAGTTATGTGACAGTGAAAAGTACCAAGCAGGCCCATAACAGATTAAAATCAACTTCTAAGTGGGTATTTGGAAGGCAACAAAAAAAACAACTACCATAGTTCACTAAGAATACATAAACAGACAAATGATTGATCACTTGAAATGTCAAGATTGAAAATCAAACTATTTTCACATAAGTTTGCTATCTATAGCTCTTTTTTAGAAATAAATAAACAGCATAAAGCAAATAAACTGTTATTTAAAAAAAATCACGACACATACACATAAAGAATCATTAGATTATATGCCTACTTGCAGGACAGTAGTTCCCGGTTCAACCATGACAGATTGACCATCAACAAATACTTCAATCAAGTTGCTTGCTGCGGTGGCAGTTGTTCGAACTGACCATTTAAAGAAAAAAAAAAAGAGGTGAAATAAACAATGAGGTGAAAACAAATCAAAGAGTTGAACTTATTATAACAGAGGATAATTAGTTATATTTATATTCTATTTATTAACTTAAAATTTTTCTTAATTTTATGATATTCCTATTTCTCTACATGCACTTTTAAATACGGAATAAGGAAAAAAAAAAAGCCCTTTAATCCTGAATACCAAACAGAATATGACTTGTCTACTTTTAATAGTAGAGGTTGGTTGAGCATCCCTAATCCAATAATCCAAGATCTGAAATGTGCCAAATCTGAAACGTTTTGACATGATGCCAGGAGAGAAAAATTCCACATGACCTCCTGTGACAGGTCACCATCAAAACACTGCAATTTAAAAATACTGAATAGAGGCTGGCAGGCAGCATGGTGGTTAATGCACTAGACTCCCACATGGCTGACCATGGTTCAAGTCATGCAGCTGGCAGCTTGCTCTCTCATTTTCTGTCTCTCTCTGGTCAAATTAAATAAAAAATTTAAAAAATACACTGTATAGGGCCAGTAGGCGACATGGTGGTTAAGGCACTGGACTCCCACATGGCTGACCGTGGTTCAGGTCCGGACCTGGTGACTTGCTTTTTCACTTTCTCTCTCTCTCTCTCTGGTGAGCATATTATTAAGAATAATAATAACTAAAATAAAGTAATTAATTTAAAAAATAAAATTATATAAATCACCTTTAGGCTTTGTGTATAAGGCATACATGCAACATATATTTCCTGCTTAGGTTTGGATCACATCCCCAAGGTATCTCATTATCTACTTTCATATTCCAAAATATGAAAAAATCCCAAAATTGAAAAAAAAAATTTCTGGTCCCAAGCATTTTGGATGATGAATACTCAAACTATAATATAAATGAAATTTTTTTCTTTCTTTTTTTTTTTTTTTTTCTAGGTTTTTGCCATAGGACATATGTGTTCTCCAGAGAGAGAAAGAGATAGAGGGAAAATAGGAAATCATCCTTCTGGAGCGTGGTCACACCAAAACCCCTTTTTCTCCATTCTCCTCCTAGGATTTTGGGCATGGACACACACATGCCCAGCTAGATTTTCAAGCCACCAGGTCTGGGATTCGAACTATGACTGCGCCCAGCCATGAAGGAGTCCAGTGCTTCAACTACCATACCACCTGCTGGCCTTGGTCACTTATTTTTATACATAGCTAACATAAATGATAAACTTAGAGTCTTTTTTTAAAAAAGAATTATTTTATTTAACTTTATTTATTTATTTATTTTAATTTGACCAGAAAGAGATAGATAGATGAGAGAGAGAGAGAGAGAGAGAGAGAGAGAGAGAGAGAGAGAAAGAGAGAGAGGGAAAGTGAGAAGGCAAGCTGCTAGGTTTGGGACTTGAACCGTAATCAGTCATGTGGGAATCCAGCATCCCTAATCACCATGCTACCTACAGGCCTCCCCCTCTTTTTTTTAAAGAGATTTTTGCTATAGGGCATATGCACTCAATGGAAAGACAGAGAGACAGAGAAAGCAAGAGATCACCTCCCAGAGGGGATGGCCATGCTGCAATCCCTTCTCTTCCACCCTCCTCTTGGGATCTTGAGCACACCCGCACATGCGTCCAGTGTAAGTTTAAGCTGCCAAATCCGGGACTCGAACCACGGTCAACTACGTGGGAGTCCAGCAACGTAACCATTACGCCAACTGCTGGTCCCTAAATTTAGGGTCTTTGAAGAAGAAACGTATAGATCTATAAGTTTACACAGGTGAAAGATCTAATACCTATGAATGGAAATAAAAAATACATATATACTTACCATACCCTTTAGGAGGTTTAGAAAGGCCTACTAAGGCCCTTCTTACAGGTATTCTTAACATATTGCTGAAAATAAAAGAAAGAAGAATTATAATACTGTATGACCCAAAACACCTACTTACAAATTTTTTGTTACTGTTTTATGACTTTATAGTACTTCACATACATTATATCATTGAATACTTGTCAAGTCTTGCTATTTTCCTTCAAATTTTATAGATGAGACTATTTAGTCTCAGAAACATTAAATGCGCTTATACAATGTCCAAAAGTTGAAAAAAAGCAACCAGTGTATAAATCTGAGCTTTCTAATTCTAGGTAAAGGGCAGCTGTGTTTTTTTTTTTTTAACTAGAAACAATCAAACTTAAACACTACCATCTAGTAAAATAACCTGCAAGAACAACAGTGAACTTAATGGCTTAGTTAATGGCTATGCAAAACAAAGCCTACTTTGTGCCTACTGATATGCACTATATCAGTGTATGTTCTAAGCACAGTTACATTTAGTAAATGCTGCAGGTGTTCTGAGATAGCTCATGAATCCATCTTAGAAGTGTCCTGAGTGCTACTTGCTGTGCATGTTTGTCACAGATCTGCATCTACCTATCATATGCCAGTTCTGCCCGCACTGTATTATGAACTCCTTAATCTATCTTCAGTAGCTATCTCAAGGCTGGCATACAGTAAGCTCTAAAACGGTGGTTCTCAACTGGAGACAATGTCACTCCCCAGGGAACTTTTGGCAATGTCTGAGACCTTGCTGTCACGACTATATGTACTGCTAGGAGGGCAGGGCACTGCTGCATATCCTAAATGCACAGGACAGATCTTGATCCTATAAGCTAACCATCTAAAACCACAATTTTTTTATTTGACACTTTTAAAGATATTTAAAATGAAAATTAGGTGGTCAGAATGTATCGACATCAATTTTAGCAGTCAAAAAAATTTCAATAGCTGCAATAGTACTACTGTAAAACAGTACACAGATACTAAAGTATTTTAATTTTTAAATTTGCCATAGGATGCATTTGCTTCCCAGAGGGACAGGAAGAGAAAGAGGAAAAGTGAGAAAGCAGTCCCTGGGGTAATGGCAAAGCCACAATCCCTTCTAAATTCTCTTCTTGGGATTTCGGGCACACCAGCCTTCATGCCCAGTGTGTTTTTCAAGACTTCATGTCCAGGACTGGAACCTCACTGTCAGTCATGTGGGATCTAGCCACCTTAATCACCTTAACCACTGGCCCTATGGTAGGCTTTTTTTTTTTTTTTGAGAAGTTTTTTTCTTTGCTATAGGGCGGGTGCCCTTGCCAGACAGAGAGAGACAGAGAGACAGAAAGCGAGAAATCAACCCCCAGTGGGGATGGCCACGCCACAATCCCTTCTCCATTCTCCTCTCGGGATCTTGGGCACACACGCACACGCGCCCAGCATGAGTTTTAAGCCACTGGGTCCGGGACGCGAACCGCGGTCGACTACATGGGAGTCCAGCAACATAGCCATTATGCTAACTGCTGGTCCCAGGCCCTATGGTAGTTTTAAGCACACAATTTTGCATATTTATCACAGGTAATATATATATGGGAATTTCATTAATTTAGACTTCACTGACTTCATTTAGTCTACTTTTTAAAGGAATTATTATATTTATTTTATTTTACCAAAGAGAGACAGAGAAAGAAAAAGAAAGTGAGAAAGAAAGCCGCAATAGCTGGGACTGGAACCAGGGTCAGTCATGTGGGGTTCTAGCGTGTTAACCACCATGCCACCTGCTGGCCCCATTCACTGATTTTATTAATCAACTGCATTAATTCCAGATTGACAGACATCAAGTTTGTTACTTAGTGGTGAGTGATAAACTAATTCTGGTTCTTCACCTACAAAGCAGGAAAAAAATAATACTTCCTAGTCTGTGTCTTCTTTTTCTAAAAGAATTATTTATTTAGTGTTATTTATTATTGTTTATTTAAAATTTTCCTATAGGGAACATGTGAGAGAGAGAGAGAAAGCAAGCTACCAGGTTTGGAACTCAAACCTTGGTCAGTCACATGGGAGTCCAGCACCCTAACGGCCATGCCACCTGCCAGCCCCCTTAGCCTGTGTTTTCTTTTCTTTTTTTCTGGTTGTCACATGATCCTTTATTGAGATGTTTTCCTGTGTACTTCTTAACTAGCTGGGCATTCCACTGCGCCACTGTTGATGTCATCAATGATGTCATGAGGGTGACGGCCATCGACATTGCAGCCTACAGACTGGGCTGTCCCCAGGATCTCTTTAATGGTTCCAGAGAGTTCTCTGGCCAAAGATCGGTGCCTCATCTATTGGGCAGTGCTGACAATCCTGTCAAAAGTGATGTTTCCACTATGTTTAATATTCTTTTGCTTCTCTCTGTCTCTTGGCGGTTCTTTGAGGGCTTTGATGATGAGCGCAGAGGCAGAAGGTACCACTTCGATCTGGGCCTGTCTATTCTGAATGGTCAGTTTCACCATAATCCTTAGGCCCTTCAGTCATCGGTTGCCTTGGAGATGTCATCACCAACCTTTTTTGGATACAGAACAGGGGGGCTGATCTTGGGGGCCAGGGCAGACATGGCACCAACTTTGCCACCAGTGCACCTCAGGAACACGACTTTGATCTCATTGGGGTCGAACTTGGGTGGCATGGTGGAGGCGGCTGGTGTCAGATGAACCCAGATTCGGGATGACTGAAGAAAGTTGTACCGAAGCCTCATCTGAGGCAAAAGCCAAAAGCTAGCCCATGTTTTCTTAATAAGAGCTCAATAAATGTCACTTAAAGCTAAGTTCAACTTAAGAACTACTGGCCATTGACAATTAGGGTTTTTTAAAATTTTATTTATTATTATTATTATCATTATTTTTAAACTTGACCAGAGAATTGAGAGAGAGGGAGAGGGAAAGTGAGAAGGCAAGCTGCCAGGTCCAAGACTTGAATTGTGGTCAACCATGTGGGAGTCTAGTGCCTTAACCCCCCTGCCACTTGCCAGCCAGACAATCAGTTTTGTTTTGTTTTGTTTTGTTTTGGAGAGGTTTTTTCGCTATAGGGCTCGTGTGTTAGCCAGCCAGACAGAGAGAAACATAGACAGAAAGCGAGAAATCACTCCCCAGGGGGGATGGTCACGCCACAATCCCTTCTCCTCTTGGGATCTTGGGCACACACGCACTGTCCCGGCCCACGGGACGGTAGAACAGAGATGGCTTCTGTATGCAGTGCTCACCACAATGCACACGTGCCCGGTGTGAGTTTTAAGCCACCAGGTCCAGGACGCGAACCACGGTCAACTACGTGGGAGTCCAGCAACATAGCCATTACGCTAACTGCTGGTTCCCCCAGACAATCAGTTTTGAAGTGCTCCTCCTTGCGCTCCTTTTAGTACCAACACATACTATATATATTATTCTATTTCGTTTTTTGATTGCCAGAGAGTATGTGCACTTATCAGAGACAGAGAGAGCGAGAAAGCCAGAGAACTCCCTGATAAGGCATAGTCATGCTGTCAAGTTTTTTCCTCCATTTGTCCAACTCATCATGACTTGGGACATGTATACACAAGTGACTGGTGTGTTTTCCAAGGCTGCAGGAAACTGGGATTCCAAATGCAGTTGGCCATGTGGAATACAGCTTTCCAAATACAGCACTTACCTACTGTCATGTATGACCAGGTTTTCTATGTACAGCACCTATCATTATGAGAACATGGTGCCAGTCCCTATTATTCCACTTTCTAAACTGTACGTTAGTAGTCAATATTAGTACCTACTGGACTATAAGCTACTTAAGCATGAGAAATCGGTCATCTCCCCTTTTTGAAGACCCAGCACAATGCCCTTATAAAAATAACCACCAAATGGGACCAGCATGATGGTTACATCACTGGACTCCCATGTAGTTGACCATGGTTCAAGTCCCAGACCCAGTGGATTAAAACGCAGGCTAGGTTCAGGTGCCCAAGATCCCAAGAGAAGAACAGAGAAGAAGGAACTGTAGCATGGTCATCCTCCCCCCCTGGGGGGGGGTGGTGATTTCTGACTTACTGTCTCTCTGCCACTCTAGCGAGTACACCTGCCCTATAGCAGAAATCTCTCTCAAAAAAAAAAAAAAGAAAAAGAAAATAACCACCAGTCTTATTATAAAGTTTCAGAATGAGTAGTATATGTCCTATTAAAAACTATTAATGGTTAGGGGCCGCCAAGTGGCATGATGGTTAGGGGCTCTGGACTCACACTTAGGCAAGTTACTGTAGTTTGAGTCCCGGACCTGGCAGCTTGCTCTCTCTCTCTCGCTCTGTCCCTCTCCAGTAACATATCAATAAAGTCAGGTATAATAATTCTTTAAAAGAAAAAAAATACTATTAATGGGGTACTAGCAAATGGTGTAATGGTTACATTGCTGGACTTTCACATCATCAACTGAGATATGAGTCCCAGACCTTGCAGCTTAAAACTGACATTGTGAGTGTGTACATGCGTGCCCAAAATCCTGAGAGGAGAAAGGAAGGGAAGGGACTGTGTTGTGGCCATCCCTTCTGGGGGTGATTTCTTCCTTTCTTTCTCTTTGTCTCTTTCTGTCTCTCCTGCAAGAGCACATGCCCAATAGGAAAATCTCTCTACAAAAAAACACAAAACAACTATTAATGGAAAATATAGATGAACCTGAATTTGCTGAATTTAGAATATTGCCAGATTTAAAATCAACAATCAGTACATCATACAATTTAAGATGTTTAATACAACGATTTTGTTTGTCTTCAATACCACATAAAAGGAGTGCCTCTTTTAGAGGCCAGAAGGTGGCAGAGGGGTAAAAGGCAACATTCTGTGAAACAGATCCACACAGGAAGATTGCTGGTTCACTGAGAGACCTCTCTCAGTATCCTGGGGCATGCTTGTGCCCATAATCCTGGCTGGCTGAGACTGTGGGTGGATGGCAGCCTCAGGATCCTGTCAGGGGGTACTATCTCTCTCTCATAAGCATGCATCTGAAACAAATAAACTTATTAAAAAGTGCCCTTTTTTTTTTTTTGAAGGTATTTGCCATAGGATGTGTGCACTTGCTGGAGAGAGAGACGGTGAGAAGGAAAGTGAGAAATCACTCTCCAGGGGGCATGGTCGGGCCACAATCCTTTCTCTTCCATTTTTCTGGGATTTTGGGCACCCACACACATGTGCCTGGTGTAATTTTCAAGCTGCCAGGTCCTAAACTCGAACCGTAGTGGGCCATGTGGGAGTCCAGCACAGTAACCACTATGCCACTTGCTGGTCTCACCAATCATTTCTAAAACTAGACTGGACACTTTTCAGTACAGGGACTATATTATTCCATATTCTCTACTATCTATCCTGTATCTATCCACTTCCCTCTCCTTCTAGGGTACCACCCTATTCCAAGCCACCATCACTATTTTTTTAAAGGTGGTGTGTGTCCTCGCTGGAGAGAAGAAAGGGACAGAAATAAACAGTGAGAGGGAAAATGAGAAATCACCCCCCTTCCCCCCAGCAGGGATGGCCATGTCACAATCTCTTCTTCTCCATTCTCCTCCTGGGATTTTGGGCATGCACACACATCAGCCCAGCATTTGAGCGCAGCTGATTTTCAACTATGCTACTTACTGGACTCCACCATCCCCTTACCAGGTTCCTCTGCTTCCACACACTTTCCACAGCCTCTCTCCTCTTCCTACCCCATATGGCTTCAGACCCAAATGTTCTTTCCTCAGATTTTTCTAGTCCCTCTTCATCCTTCAACAATTGGCTTAGAAGCCTTTTCTCAGGGAGACTATCCTTGACTAACTTATCTGAAATTCCCTAACTTCTCTTCAGTCATATTACTAATTTTACTCTTCTTTATGGCCTCATTTCTGGTTTACACTATACATTCAATCAGTACTGGCTAAGTGAATTGAAGCTCCAGTCTCTGGATGTCATTTACAGAGACCAGTACTTCTACAGTTAAAAACAGAAGGTGCTTTGGGTACCTTTAACACTCCACTTAAGACTCACAACTCTGCCAACAAACAAACAAAAAGAAACCTAGCTTGATGTTCATTCACCTACAACAGTTCATGTTTCACTGCCAACACTCTCAAATCGCGTATGACAGAGTTGTGTCCAACCCATGATCTTGCAGAACACGCATCCAATCCCCAAAACGTGTCAACGATGTGGCTCTGCTATTCGCAGTGTGACCTTGGACTAACTTCTTAAAAGTCCTTTTTTCTGTTCTCCGTCAGTGAAAGGAATAAAAAGTGCTACTCAACGTGGTCAATGGGAAAAACCAAACCACCAAAAAGCAGTCAGATGCGTGGACGGCTGCAAAGGCAAACGACCAAGCCATAGGTACGCGGAGACAGGCGGGGAAGCGCTCCGTCTCGCGCCTCGGTCACCTGACACAGGTCCTCTCCTAGGGAAGGAAAAGGCCTCCTCCTCTGAGGGCAATGCCCTGCCTTTCGCTGCGGAAGGAGGGCCGCCCGCTATCCTGTTATGAGAGGACTCCTGATCCTGCTCCTCTGTTCCGCTCCATCAGACCCTGGGCTAAGCGCCCTCCCCTGCCGGCTGTTGGGGCCCGGGACAGCAGGGCGGGAGGCGGCGCCCAGTCAAGGACAAGAGGAGATTGAGTCCTCCTGGTCCAAGAGAAACAGTCCCGTCAAAAACTAAACCTCTGGTTGAGGCACCTCAACCTTCCCACCCAGACACGGCCTCACCTTGTCCTCGGAGCCGCGGGGGCTGCTCTGATGAACTGTCTGGACCACACCGACACCTCCGAGACCCGGTCACTTATTCACTATGGCGGCCTCGGCGAACTCCGTCAGCCGGCCCCGCAGAACGGAAGGCCAGGAGGGACAAGAAGCCTCAGATTCGACAATTTCCCACTTCGTTGGATTTCGGTAATTTCCGTCAGTCTGACAGAGGGCGGGACGGAGGTCACAGCCGCGAGGAGGAGGCGGGGAAGACAGAGGAGCCGCAGTTCCGCCGGAAGTGGCCCGAGTCTCGGGGCCGGGGGTCTTCGATCATCTCCGGCGCTCGGCGCTCCAAGGGGCGGTTCCTGTAATCGTCGCGAGCCGTTGAGGTACAAATTTCAAATATGCGGCTCTTATTAATTTCCTTTGGAACAACGAAAAAGTCCGCGGGCACCTTGTGGGCCACAGCATTCAGAGCCCTTAGTTTTTACGTGGAGGAATGAGAATGCGGACATACTTTGACCTTTAACCTTCGGCCGGGTGGCGAAGGGAACCGCCTCCGTCTCTATATAAGGAATTTTCCGGTGGTTCCGGGTCCTTTTTTTTTCTGGTAGCGCCAGGCTCGGATCGCCTGCGCTCTTTCTCACAGCTGCTCCCCAGCCCCCAAAGACAGCCCACGCCATGGGTTTTGGAGATCTGAAAAGCCCCGCCGGCCTCCAGGTGCTCAACGATTACCTGGCGGACAAGAGATACATCGAGGGGTGAGCGGACGGGCCGGGCCGAGGCCGGGCGGCGAGGGAGCTTCTCCGGCCGAGACTGCCCGGGGCCACGTGGCGCAGCCAGCGCTGCTGCAGGAGGGAAGGTGGCAGGGGTTCCAGGGCCTCTTGAGTGTGAAAAGAAAAGTGGGGCTGTTCCGCCTACCTCTGGGGCCGGGGCATGGTGTGGGCCTGCGATCTGGGGAGAGGACTAAGATGGAAAACAGTAAAAATTGCCACTTTGATTCAGCCAAGTTTTTTTCCATGTTCTTCTTTAAGTTAGTGTTATCCAGTAGGTAGAGCAAGTCTGTTAAGTGACAGGCATTCCTTGGAACAGCGCGGCGGTGACCCTAACAGGTGCCTCTGATCTTAAGGAGATTAAGATTTAAAAAAGAAAAGAAAAAAAAAAGTAAAGTAGCTTAGGTAACATGGGTGATAAATGAACGAGTTCTCATTGGGTATGGCGTTTGTCATTGCTGAATTTGTGTCATTTAGAGCTGTGTGTGTGTAATTGCTTTGGTATTGTTGTCAGGTATGTTCCATCACAAGCAGACGTGGCAGTATTTGAAGCAGTCTCCGGCCCACCGCCAGCCGACTTGTGTCATGCCCTCCGTTGGTATAATCACATCAAGTCCTACGAGAAGGAAAAGGCCAGGTAGTTACCTTTGTGTTTTTAATGACTGCTTTCCAAGCTTAATCAGGATAATCACATGACAGTTGGGCCCGGCTACCTTAATTCTGATGGGATGTTGTAAGCTGAACTTCTTTGTCTTTAGAAGGCCAAGAGACTGAAGCCCTCCATTTTTTCACAGAACAGGTAGAACGTGGACAACAGTTCAACTTTTCCCCACACTGCCCTGCCAATGTGCCTCAACCCTGACCTGGGGGGGCCACCTCTGGGGTGAGGTGAGAGGGTGGCTCATTCATTCAGTCCCTGGCCATTCTTCTGAAACTGCCAACAAGGGTGAAAGTTTGGGGAAGTGGACTCCAGTTCACTAAGAATGGAACTGAGCATACTTAATGAAATCTCAAAGAGAAATGTTCATACTGAAAGAGTAAATCATAGTGAGTATTGAATGTAATGTCTCACGTGCTAACGTTTGTTGGGTGAGGAGTTGAACATAACAAAAAATATTTACCTGGAAGTATAGTAAAGGATAAATCATTAGTATAAAGGAATCTAGTGATAAACGCAAGTTCTTGTGTGTTGTCTGGAAAGGGCGTTATTCTTAATAGTGATCAGATTTGAATTTTTTTCCAAGCCTGCCAGGAGTGAAGAAAGCTTTGGGCAAGTATGGCCCTGCCAATGTGGAAGACACCACAGGAAGCGGAGCCCCCGAGAGTAAAGATGATGATGACGACATTGATCTCTTTGGATCTGATGATGAGGAGGTATGGCATCTTTATGCAGGAGAATAAATTGTGTGTAAGCACAAGGCTTGTAGCCAAGTTGCTTGGATTTGCATCTTGGCTTCATCATGCCTTCTAAAAATCGTCACTGGTTACATGATGAATAAAATCAAATCACCATCTTTCGGCTGAGGTCCTGATGGATTTGCTTTTTCTGATAAAGCTGGTCTATTTTTGGATGACCCCCACACCAATGGTAAGCAGAGGCCAGCTTTGTGAAATATATTTGATTTTTTTTTTTTGTATAGGAAAGTGAAGAAGCAAAGAGGCTAAGGGAAGAACGCCTTGCACAGTATGAGTCAAAGAAAGCCAAAAGTAGGTCATTTTATAATTTGTGTTTACTTAATGAGTTCATGCATTTCAGAATAATAACAATGTGAGTAATCTTTTTCAAAGTTTGACTCCAGAGCAATTTCCTCCACTTCGTTGAATAGGTCAGTGTGCAAAAACCTTTCGTAAGGGCTCTTCATAAAACTTCCACAGCTACTGGTCTGCAGCTGTTCTTACAGTAGCAGTTGTGGCATTCCTCTGTGGGAAAGAAACTGTTCCACGATTAAATACCTCTTTCTTAGTAAAATAGAAAGTGGGCATGTGTGGGACAGACAAAAATTTATTCAGTAGTTTTATTGGGCTATGGAGTTGATCCATTTTAATACAAATTGAGATTTGTTAAGTGGCTTGGACTGAAATGAAAAAACATAACTGGATATTTAAATAGTGCTGAGTTTTTTTATACTTTTCTTTTTTAGAACCTGCACTAGTTGCCAAGTCTTCCATCTTGTTAGATGTGAAGCCTTGGGATGACGAGACAGACATGGCAAAATTAGAGGAGTGCGTCAGAAGCATTCAAGCAGATGGCTTGGTGTGGGGCTCCTGTGAGTGTATTAGTCTTTGCCTATTTAAACTGGTATTTGTAATTTGCATATAATTTTATGTCATACCAATCTGTAAGTCTTTTCTAACTAAGATTTTCTTAATATTCTTTTTAGCTAAATTAGTTCCAGTGGGATATGGAATTAAGAAACTTCAAATACAGTGTGTAGTTGAAGATGATAAGGTTGGAACAGACATGCTGGAGGAGCAGATCACTGCTTTTGAGGACTATGTGCAGTCCATGGATGTGGCTGCCTTCAACAAGATCTAAAATCCATTCTGGATTGTTGCACTTAAATAAAAGCTTGAAGGATAATCCTTGGTCCTTGAGTTTATTCAGTGGGGGAGAGAGGATAAATATGTCTCTTTTGTTGTGAGGGAAGGAATTGAATGGATATGTGATTTATAAATTAAAATGTCATTCAGCATGTTAGACATTTAGCAATTACTACATAACTATATTAGCAAAGTCCTCAGCAACACATGATAATCCCATTTTTATTATTACAGTATTCTTGGGTTTTCTATTTACTTCATTTCAAAAGAAATCGGAGAGATAAAATTCTTTTTAAAATTTTGTGTCCAGAAGTTGCTGTCTTAGATGATTAACCCTGTAGGTTTATAATAATTCAGGTCCTGGGCTTTGCTGGGCTTATGAAGTTATTTAGTATCCAAGCTGATTTTCCTCAAAATAGGAAATTTAAGAGTATACTAAATGATCCATGAGAGGAGGCAGCGGATGGTGTAGCAGTTACGTTGTTGGACACTCACATGGCTGACCATGTTTTGAATCCCAGACGCAATGGCTTAAAACTTGACCCAGGCGTATGTGTTTGCATGTGTACCCAAGATCCCAGAAGAAGTGATTGCAGTGTGGCCATTTCCACTGAGGGGGTGATTTCTCACTGTCTCCAAGGAGTGGATGGGCCTTAAGGCAAAAATGTCTTTTTTTTTTTTTTAAATGAATCCATGAGAAATGAGTTTACATGTAAAACTCTTAGGACAATACTGGTCACATAGGTTGTAGGATCATTAGTGAAATCTTGGAAATGAATTAAACGCCAAGACTAAAACTGAATTTCTCTTCTAGTTAAGAATAGTACTTTAAGTGACTGGTGTGATTCATTGTAAGCATATTCCAGTTATGATTAATTGTTGGCCAAAACACAATGACAAACCTCATTTGAAACTACTAGGGCTGGTCCTATGACTTGGTGGGTGAGGAAACGATCTCATATAGCTGATGGCAGTCTAAAACCCAGCCTCAACAGCTTGAAAAATGGTAAGTGCACATGTATGTGTGCCCACAGTCCCAACAGTGAAGAAATAAGGAAGGGATTGGGGGTATAGTGATGCCCCACTTAGGGGTTTGCTTTCTCTCAAGCAAGTGCAGGTGCTCTTAGGCAAAAATTGTGGAAAAGATGGGACACTTAACACTGTTAGGTACTTAATAACCCAGAAAAAGTCAAGTCAGGGAAGGCTTCCCAGAATTTGAGAATTAAAAAGTCATTTTGGGGCCAGCAGGTAGCATGGTGGTCAAGTCTTTGGATCCCACATGGCCAACTGTGATTCGAGTCCCAGACGTGTGAACTTGAGAAATGCCAGGCAAAATCTTGAGAGAAGGGATTGCACTGTGGCCAGCCACTTGGGGAGTGATTCTTAACTTTTCCTCTCTGTCTCTCCAACGAACACATGTGCCCTATTGCAAAAATCTTTTTAAAAGACATTTCATGGCCAGCAGGAGGCATGGAGGTTAAAGCTGCTGGGTCCTGGGACCAGCAGGTGGTGTGGTGGTTAAGATGCTGGACACTCCCACATGGCCGACCATGGTTGAGTCCTGGACCTGGTGGCTTGCTGTCTCACATTCTCTTTTTCTGTGTCTCTGGTCAAATTAAAATAAATGAAGAAATAAAAATAATTATTTCAAAAAAGGAAACTTAAAAAAATAGGGAACCAGCAGTTAGCGTAATGGCTATGTTGCTGGACTACCCCGTAGTCCACCGC